TTGGGGTTATTGGCGCCACTATTCTGCAGGGCGATGGTAAGCCCTATCTTGAATTCTTCTACGTCAACAGTCCTCTGTCGCCCTTTGTTCCCGGGGTCTTCTAAGTGGGCTTGGCTCGGTTCTATCGGCACTTGCGCTCACTTATTATTTGCTACTTTGCTTTTTTTGGACAACCCTATCTCGAGCCATGCGTCTCTTCGCCGCCCGTTGTGCAACTGTCAAATCTTCGGCGAGGGACTTTGTGTTTCAGGATTACGTGCGATAGGCCATGTCGTCGATCAGAGCTGATCAAGCCTGTCTCTCTGTCCTGAAGATCATCGGAAAAGTGGGTTCGGGGTTTTGATCTCTTCGGCCCTTCGTGCAGAGGGGAAAAGTGACGAGATGGACAATACCCACACCGATGAGGCCCAGGGTTTTGCTAGTGTAGTCTCGTCGCCAGAATCAACGTTGTATTTTCTGGTGCTCTTACCAATATGCTTTGCTACGCTATTTTCGTAAACCCACTTTGCTCGGAACGCGGATAGTAAGCGGGGGGGCAATGGAGCTTCACACCGTTGAATGCGACTGATGATACGGGTAGGATATAGGCAACTGTCTATATCTAGTGGGGAAGTATGTTGCTAATCGCCTAAGCACCTTCATCTACTCGAGAGCGACGGTGATCATACATACAAAACTACCGTAAACAGCATGTATATAATGGTGCTCAGATCCCATCTCGACGGCATCCAATCAGTTCCTTGTCCCATCGGAATGGACAAGAATGAGCTATCCTACCCCCCCCTCCGCATCTGATGAGTTATGATAGGTTCCCAAATGGGTAATCCATGCCCACGTAGTGGGTTAGGCTAGTATCTAATCGGGAGATGCTGCCTTGAAGCAGAAGTATGTGACTGTCCGTTATGGGAAGCGGAGGCAATAAGGCTCTGATATGTATGTTATGTAGGTATGTATAGATAATGTAGGTATGAGGTATGTAGGTAGTCACTTGAGCAACCATGGAAGTTATCGCTTCTCCAATCCTTCTCCATTTAGTTGCATAGAGGTGTAGCGGTCATCGTGATCAGATATTGACCCTGCTGTTCTGACCACGATGCAGAATAGAGCAAAGCCGAGAAGCCGAATCCACTTCTCCAGCTAACATCTACCGCCGCAACGCTATGTTAGTCGTCGTCACAATTAGCGCTCTGATAATGGAGCCAACCTCCAATCAGCAGGCTGCGAGTGGTCTAGTCAACGACATCGTTCCCTTTGTCCTCTTGGGCGGTGAAGGAGACACAATGAGCAGAATTTCAACGGGATTGCTATCAAGGGGATGCCGAGCAGGCTGAATTAAGGACATGAGGAGGGGGGTTATTGCTGATCATGATCCTAAGCATGATTTCAACTTGAATGTGCTGATATCTGTATTTCTCATTCACCATTGCATGTGACTGGATATCTTAATTATGGAAGTGGGTTATAAGTTGAAAAAGGAAGCATTTTTGAACCTGGTAAACTTGAATTGGCATCCAATAATATAAATATGTACTTACGTACCTACCTAACTAAGGAAGGAACTAAGGAAGGTGACACCTTACCCTTACATACCTGTATGATAATAAACTCACCTATCTAACCGATGGATATATGCATAACCTAAAAACCCCAGCTATGAGACATCGGGGCGCCCCGCGCCTGAGAATCAGCCCGCTGAAACGGGCAGACGGGTAACCTAGAGCTGACATGGAAGGTTCCTCCATGGGGTTTGTAAGAGCCCTAACATTAGTGATCTACATAAGTGTATCCAGTATTACGCAGCTTCAATTTGAAAACTAGGATAATCCGCTTAGAACATTGATTAAAACTTTTACACCAACAGCCATCCATCCATCTTAATCTCACGTACTCATATATTCTTCAACAAATAATAAGGAAAAAGAAATATTAAATGATTAACTAAAAAGAAAAACTAAAACGCCATTAGAGCCCTTACTGCAGATTTAAATATTCGTTTATCTATCTATCTCTCCACGTTCTTACAACGTCACTCTTACATACTCATGCACGATCCGCATGAAGATGCATGTAATTGTCCGTCGATCCGCCTATATTAGCTGCTTTATCGAATCCTTTCTGCAGGCATGGTTTTTCTTTTCTTTCGCCATCTCCGCAACGAAGTACGTGACCCCTTCAAATCGTCGGTTTACCGCCGCTGGCGTGTGAGGCGCTCGGAAGACGGAAGATCGTAGGATTCCTGTTGTGTGCTTCTTTACACCCTTGGTATTTTCTCCGTACGCGGGGATTTCGTTGGTATATGTAGATCCGACGATGAGTCAAACTTGAAAAAAATACCAGTTCTCTCAACCAAAATACGGCGTTCCGGGACAAGACCGAATTTCGATCGCAAGCGAGATTGCCGAGCCAATACTGATTGCAGGATTCAACGACTAAGACACTCACATCCAATGCCCTTTCACGTACGTTGTACTGTATGTCAGAAGAATAATGATTAGTATCACACACAAAACTTGGTTCCGACCGATCTTACTCGATCGTTTGACAGGTCCCACAAACCATTATGGAGGTTGCAGCTAAGAGGCCGGAGGCGTCGAGTAACGCTGAGCTATCTCTAGACTGGGGCTGCCGGGGCTTTCAGCTGGAAAAGCCTCACGAAAATACCAAGCCCAGGTACTTTTAGAGAAAATACTATTCAAATGGTACTATGGGCAGTTTGATTACTCTCTCTTATGCGAGCTTGGGTCATTTGAGTTATAATGGGATACACTCGATATCAAAGCGACTTCTATAATCGATTTTTTCTTAAGAGGTCACCCTTGGCTCTCGCGGGTATTAGCAAGAAGCCGCCATCTACGGTACCTGAAGTATGCCCTCTCCTGAATAATTCGGATAAGGCGCCATTGACGATTTTCTGTTTGTTCTTCATACGACGTGCCTCCGGGGGAACCATATCCAATCGTTCCATTTAATTCCAAACCGTTGGTCCGCGTCAACAAATGGCTCAAGTATGCGCAAGGTACTTGTGTTGGTATTGGGGAACGGCTTGAGTGTAACAGCATTCCCCAGAGCTGTGATCTAACGCTCACGGACCCGTTCCCTCAACTCTATTACCTAGCATCCCACGATGCCAAGAGGCGCAAGGCGCTAACCCGCTTCCCCTCTAATAGGCATTCACAGTACATAGTGACATCATCATCGAAAGATTGCTATCACGGTACAAACTGGCTCCAGCTCCACTGCGGTTTATCACGGATAGGACCGTCCTTGCAGGACTTAATATGAACGTCTATTATTGGCCTGCTCAGGGGTCAAGGAGAAGAACAAATGCACAATCAGCACCTACGACTGACCAATCCGGTTGAGTAAGACCATCTGGTTTAAGACCCTTGTCTACGACAGCGAGCTACAGCGCTACGAGAGTTTCGGCCTCTATTACATTTAGAGGGTATCGTCTAAATAGGCAAGCCAGTACCCGATGAAAAATATATTGCAGATTCGTCATTTTATTTACTAATATGTAACCTAGCTTTCGAAATAGTCTTTCTATCAAGATTTGACACCGTCTCCGCGAAGGCTTGACACTAAAATCTTCCACCGGAAACAGCCCTGGGCATACTGACTGCGTGTCCATTTCTGATAGGCACAACTATCTATAAACGGCACTAATGGTCGGTCATGAGAACCGAACAAACTCAGTTGAAAGTCGATGTCTTGCGCAATTGAAGATGGGGATGTTATTGTATACTTTCCCGATTTTCTCCGCTGATGAAATGAATAGGAGCTGTTTGACATCCAAGGAAACCCTGCTCAGCCTATCATTTGGTTAACTTGGTCTATCAACTAACGCGCGTTCTGAACATGGCTCGAACGACACTGGCTGAACCTACCGTGGTTCACTTCAGATAGGCTCTGCAGGCACGCCAAGTTGCAGATTTGCAGAAGTGCCTATTCCGGCGAATAAAACCATCTACTGCCTTCCTGAAGTGTTTACCTAGTCTCGGAATTTATGAGACGGGTATCTTAGCAGTCTTAGCGGCCAGAGCTAAGAACATTTTATAAAGAAAAAATAATACTAATCACAGATATAATAAGGTTGATATACATACCTGGCTAGCTCGATAGGATTTGTTGTCCATTGGGATATCAGCCATAGGTTCCGCATCTTCCAGAAAGGATCCCTTGGCCAATGCTTTAAGATATGTATTTGTTGCACTACGTCAATGAACCAAACTTCAAGGACTAGTCGGTGGACTTGAGGGTGTCATGCAGGAAGCAAGGGCATGGTGTTCACTATGCATTGGGGTATATCTCTCATGATGGTGTACACATCATGGTACTTGGCTGGGACCGAGGTAATGGATGGTGTTTTTTTTTTTTTTTTTAATTCCCCTCCCCAAAGTCGACGTCGTTTCGTGGCCTTCTCTTTGCATGCGGCAATCAAATCCGCTTTTCCGGACGTTTCATTGCATATGAACCCCTGTCAGACTCAGGTTATTAACATTCAATCTTAATAAATACTACGCGGTAGGCTACAGTTCACGGGCGTCGAATGAGTCTGAGCCAAACTACGGAATAAGCCAGTCAGCATTGCTTTTCAGCACATGCGACTAAATATTCTAACTTTGTTTGCCCGATATTCGGCATACAAATTTAACTACGAGCATGAGATGGAATAAGTCATTACGGAATTATTGAAAATATCGAATGCGGCTCCGCTGTCGGAGGTCTTACTCGATCTCGCGAGGCTGAAACAATATCCGGTGATGCCCGAGATTTGTCGAAAATTTTCCTAGATGTGGACGATGATATCTCACGACCCACCATTACTTCCTGTTGGGCAACACAACTTGCATTTGCTTGTCTGACCCCTATCATTCGCATAGTCCTCATAGCCCAACAATGCCGTGATACGGACATTTTATTTCCAGGCCATCCTTACACTGCATATTACTCCGACGCTTCTACAACTCGGTGGCTGATAGCATGCGTGCTGAACACCACTATTTTTCGGTCTGGAACACAGAATATAAACTTCCAATATGAGGCCATATCTCCACCACGAACTCGTCGCCATCGTGAAGATAATCGGGTGGCACCTTCCCGAAGCCTACTCCTGCAGGCGTTCCCGTAATGATGACGGTCCCTGCAGGTAGCGTGGTCCCCTGCGATACGAAGCTCACCAGCTTCGCGCAGTTGAAGACCATATCACTGGATGAACTAAGATTAGTTATCATGGTCCTAACGCGCATACCCCTGACTCTACTTTACGACGACGTGCTCACCTTAGACTGGAGCTCTGCACCACTTCACCATTCTTTAACCCTCGAATGGTGAAAGTGCTAGGATCGGGCATCACTGCTGCTGAGACAAGGACCGGGCCTAGCGGACAGGCGCTGTCGAAGCCCTTGGAATAGCACGCTTGGCTCTGTGCCAACTGTGCCACCCTGCTAGATACGTCGTTGGCGGCCGTATAGCCGAGAACATAGTCCAGCGCCTCCGACTCACTCACATTCTTACATGTCTTCCCGATTACGATTGCAAGCTCAGCTTCGTAGTCCGCACTGTCATCCTTTAACGTGTGCTTCGGGATGATGATACGTGCAGGCCAGGGATCTGCCAATGCCGTAGCCGGCTTCCTAGTACAATGCATGCAGGTCAGAGATTGCCTTAATGCATTCTAGGCGCATATTGAATTAGATTTCGTACGCCTAACTTGCGCGACTTACATGAACAACAGAGGTACGTCCGGAACCTTCACTATAGATCTTACGTTAGCACTTACTACTGCAGGGACGGGGAAAGGGAATAGTAAGAAGCTAGAACGGCAGAGCTTCTATTGGCAGAATCCTCGAGGCTCAAAATCGTGGAAACGCAAAGAATCCACTTACTATTCGCTTCTTTGGCGTGTGATACATACTGTATGTTAAGATTAGTCCCAGGGTCCTACTTCTCGGCCCTTCCATCTGCCCACAACGACGGGTAAGACTTACATTCAGCCCGATACATCTGATAGTCCCGACCTCTGCCGCAGACACCGGCGATAAGAGGCGGCCGATGATCTCGATCTTGCCGTTTGGCTCCCCGGGATCTAAGACAGAAGTTCCACTAAACACCCAGACCTGTACAGTATCGCCTTCGCGTACGGCATTTCCTATATCCCAGTTACTCATGATAGGTTCTCCAATAAGCACCCGGTCGACTTCCCCGCGCGGGATGAATCGTACAAGCCCTGCGGAAATAGTCAGAATTGCCTACTCTACTCTCTATTTCCGTTTTCTCGACCTAGCTAGTAAGTGCTCCTAGAGGACGGAGGCTTACTCTCGAAGCCCATTTTCCCCGTGTTTAATAAATATTCAAAATCTATTATACTTCGAAAGTCGAAAACTTTTATCCTTGTAACGAGGATATGGTTCGCAAGCCGATTATTTGCTTCCTCTGCTTAGGTTATTATATTGCTGAGGCCGATTAATAGACTGTAAGGGTTGCCCAAGCACCTATCTATATATACGAAAACGTCCCAGTTTCTTTGGTTTTCTCTCCATCTTCCCGTCTTTTCGCCTTGCCCCCTTTCGGCACGTTGTTTCAGCCCAGAGACGGGATCTTATAGCTCCATCATTTCCTTATTTGACCTACGGCATTGGTGTCTATACCTTCGAGCCGTATAATCGAACAGTATAAAATTCCGAGGTGTATGTTATAAGTGACGTAGATATAGTTAATAAATACTGGTCAGGCGACCTTGGCCGGTCTGGATACGTGATGTTGGTATTTGTCTTTTGAAATTTACTGTACGTCTTATATGTCACTGCACATATTCGATTGGTTACCCCACTCAGCCCAGTTGCCTGTATAGGAATTATATAGTTGGAGAGATAACAGTTGACGTCGTGAAGAAATGATTGGAGCCCAGAACGAATAAAATTAAGTCCTACGTCGGTTGTATCGATTATCATGATGTAGGTGGGAAGAGTAAACACAGTCCGTGGTGCTAAGTTACTCAAGCGTGTTTATTAACTACTATACCTTACACTACATACACAACGATTCCGGTTTCTGGCCGGTCTTACCGGGACAAGATTCCTCCCTTGTTCCTTCGGTGCTTGAAGAAGAGCCGTGCCAAGCCGAGTGGAGCATCTACATATGCGAATAAGTAGCTGCGGACTCGTCTCCGGGTTCTAAGATGTTAAATATGGCAAGTTTATCTGCTGACTTCGTTTCGGCATGTAATTATACACATAACCTAGATAGACAACTGTATGAAATAATGGTTGCAAAGCTATGTGAGACCTGTGTTGAATCTATGACGAGGAGGCAGGCTAGTAAAGCATCTCATGACGAAGCCACCATCAACATCACGGCATGGCGTTTAGCCAAATGTGAGGCGTCGGTCCCCGCTAATAAGGTTGATGGCAGCTCTCTGCACGTTCTCGAAACGTGTAAAGGCGCAGCTTTCGCTCTCAAGGTGGTTCACTGTACAAGTCAGGAGAGGCCACTTAAGGATATCTCGTAGATAGGTAGGTACGGTAGCGAAGCTCTCTCCTGACAACACATACGAATATATAAACTTAAAGGGACAACGTGTGCGACGAAATAAGCTGATCGAAAAGCAGGAGAAAGCTAGAAATACCACTTACTAACGGCGGCTAGAGATTTGAAGTCGCGGCCGCAGGCATTACGGTTTGGACAATGGTACATTGACTGCTGGTCTTTATACGGGCCGACATATCAGTTATACTAATCCAGCCACAAGTAGCGGGACTTAGGACTATTACTTACGAGCAGGGGAGTTCAAGTGCTGGTTCAGGGCGTGAAGATTCACGAAATCACGGTGGCAGAAGTAACACTCGAAGGCATGGCCGTTCCACGTCTGGTCCGAGGCCTCATACGTGGAGGAACCATGCCAGCCGATGAGCTTCTTCGAGAGGATTCCGGTGGGGTCCTTAGCCCGCACTACCCGGAATATTTCATCGCGGTTTAGGAATGAAGCTTGGGGGCAGTGACCGCCTTCGAGGTGGTGCGTGAGGCCCGTCGCGGTGGTGTAGTCGGCTTTGCAGAAGGGACATGCAATCCTACTCTTTCGGTGAAAACGGGAGTTAAGATGCTGGAGCTTAAGTTAATCTTGCTGATGCCTTTAAACTGGTAGGTACCTAGCTATAAGGACAGATGCTCCATCTTACCATCTTAATGTTATTGTAGTTTTGGAAGTCCCTGTCGCAATCATGGCAGTAGAAATGGACCTCGGCTTCGTGATCTTGGCGGGTTTCCTCACTGCTCGAGACATTGTAGCAGCAGCGACACTCGAAGTTAAGAGGGCGGTGGTCTAATGCGTTGAGGTGTTGCTCCCGAGCGCTATATCGAGCGAAGCTTCTATTACAGTCCCGACATTTCCAGGCCATTGTTGCTATCTCGCACCAAAGAACAACACAGAATAGGTCAGGCGAAGATGCAAAAGAACGAGTTAGGTAACAAGTGTAGAGAGTGAGTTGATGGATTGTAAACGGACCAGACGAAACAATCTCCAAAAGTAAAAAAGCAAAGCATTGGGGGTTCTGCCTAACTACCTACTTACCTACCTAGCATACCTAAGATATGGAAACTAGGGATGGGATATTAAGAAAGTTACGGATAGGTATCATCTCAAACGACTAGGAAGGCATGTAAGAGGTAAAAGGGATATCCCTACTTCGCACATGTACGTATGCCCAAAGTTCGTCTGCGCACACGTTTAAAGCATTTTTATTGGATGCATCTTAAGTTCCTCCAAGTCTTTACTTATCACTAACTATGCAAAATACCTATCTTTTGCTTCCAAAGTGTGTAGCCGTATCATAGCCATTAAAGCTGTATACCAATAAATAAGCTATATTACAATTTCATGAGAGCTTCTTGAGTTATTGTGACAACCCAGAATAATACCTACCTAACCTAATAATACACAGCTCATTTAGCGTCAACGAACCAGGCAATACAACCCCATAAAACCCGGCAGTTTAAATCTTAGATCCCGCAATGGATCTCTAACAGGGTTCCCTAAGATACCCCCTATGTATATTCCAGCCATAATATTAAAGAGGTACCCAAGTACTACATAGGTATATAAAAGAGCCAACGTTTCAATACCGCATAAACAAATTCCCAAACGGGAGCTTACACCTACCTATGTACATACTTTGAATCCCAAGAGCGAGATGTAAACGCACCTAACTACTACCTACCTACAGTACCAAACCACCCAAAGATGAGGAGAAAGCTGCGGGGGGGATATGGACCCAACAAACCGGTACCCGTCACCCAACTTGGAGAAATCTCCTCCGCCATCCCTGCCGACATCCTCCCCCTCCTCAAAAAATCGACATGTCAAAAGTCGGATTATTTTGCGAGAAGGAAACGATACCGAGAAAAGCCAGACCGGGGTCTAGGTAAAAGGGGGTTGCAGTTCGCTCAGAAATTACTACTCGATCGGGGAAAGTCGCGAATAGCGAACTATGATAGCAGGGGGGGAAGACATGGGGACATAGGCTGATAGGTTCAAATATTCCAGGTAGCACGCGAAACCGTCGCATTCAAACCTCATCGACGACCCCCCCGCGACGCGCATGAGATTTCCATCACCTGACTCGGAAGGATTGGCTACCATTCTGTTGGCACGGCTGGGAGCTTACATACGACTATGCCCATCGCACCAGTAAGATGCCTTCTACGCGCGGAGGATTCTCTCTGAGTTGTCAAAGCGCGCTAACATATCAACGATCCAAGTTGGAAGCCGCTGACGGATATTTATTTGCATCTGACGCTGAGTAGAACCAATAAACAACACGTAGAATTACATATGTTTTACCCTAGCGCCCAAGACTAGAGGCCCCGCTACCGAATATCTCATCTCGTCTCTCCTCCTTATCCCACACGATCGTACCGTCGCTCTTGCGCTTGAAGTATAGGATCCTGTGCTCCGGTATGAATTCCTCGTGCGTCGTATCCGACTTCCACGAGTCAACTGACCGCTCCATTGCTCCCGAGAAGCGATCTTCGTAGCCGATTATGTAGTCGCTACTGTCCATGGCTTGATCCCACCGAAGCCTATTTAGAACGTCACCTGCAGATCGAAGTTTCCCTTCGTACGTTGGCTTATGCGAAAAACGGGTCTCTTTCTTCGTAGGTGGCTCTCTAGCTTCGTCCGCTTCCATAGATGCCCAGAATTCCGAATCGCCTATGTCCTCATCCTCAGCTTCAACCATGTATTTCCCCCAGTCCCGATCGTCCAATCGTAGTTCTCCAAGTTCATTCTGCGGAGTTATTATAGTATGTAGCCAGGATGTATTAGGGTCAATGTACTTCGCATCCTTGCTTGCCTGTGCTTCAAAGATACGTATACAGCAGGCATATAAACTGGCTTCTATAGAGCGTCTTCTTACTATATCAGTCGGCAGACCGGTAGGTTCTTTTAACTCCAAGCCGATAAGATAATGCCCTTCATATTCCTCGTCTTCTTCAGAAGCGTCTTGGTTTACGAAGCGTGATGGCCAGATTCTGGGATGTATGTCAGGTAATACCTTACCGATCTCTATACTCGCATTAGTACTATGTCGTGTTCTGGGGGAGGAGGGAGTAAACAGACCGACCAAGAGTGAGGCACATTTTGATTCTAGCCATTCCAATACCGTATTTATCCTTGCCAGAGACACACCGTAGAATCGAGCAGTGATTTTGAAATATGTTTTATACGTGCCCAGAAATTCCGTTATACCCGTATTCTCATTGAGGAGCTCGGTCAATATCACCTCGGCTCCTGATAATATTGAGTATGCTCTCTTCAATTCCTCAATGATGGTATGAGCAGTAGAAACTGAGGTAATCTGCGCTGTGTTCAGACGAGGCCCATAAAAGCCTAGGATAGCCATAGGCTCCCGTTCAGTTCTCATATAGCTCAGTCCTTTATGGAAGAACGGATCGAAAACGATGGAGTTATCCCAATCGAATCCCGCGTAATGATGATAGAAGTTTACTAATATCGTTTGGATACATGATGCACGGCCATGTGTATCTACCAATAACTTACACACCCGAGACAGGAGTATCGATATCTGGATACCACTAAGATAACCAAATTGCGCAGCATAAATGCCACGCCGCTTTGCCCAACATTTTATTATATGGTATGATAGCCTGAAAGCCGCAAGGTCTGGAATCGTCCCAAGAATATGATGCAGATCACGCACTGGCTTTAATGCCGCTAGGGTATTTTGTGGTAGCTTGAAAATGGGATCGGTTGGTGGTAGCGTCAGTGCGGCTGGCCACGTCTCGGTGATAGAAACTGCTGAACAATATTGTAAATCCATTCTGATATGACCGATTGCCAGCCCGATGATTGTGCCAGAGTGGGCATCTACTCGTCGTAAGATCTTAATGCCCCTCCACGCAGCTTTACGAAGTCGCTGAATGGCTAATGCGAAGAAAGTTTTTGCGCTGATACGTCCAATACAAAGGCAGTTGATATCTGATGCCGTAGTCCAGACACCCAGTCCATAAGACCCGACAGGTACCAGCACGAATGCTGGAAGCCCACGAGCGAGGTTATCCTCGTCTTGCAATATGACTTCTTTCAGTAAGCACAACGCGCTTTCTCTCATCGCAATATCAACATCGGAAGGGAGTACGGATTGCTCAGAAAGATAAGCGACAAGCTGAGATACGGACATCTGCCCCCACGAGCCTTTTATCGGAGCGAAGGTGGTATTGTTACTGCCGGTTGACCGAACTGGTGCATCTTTAGAAACCTGTAGCGAACATTTGATCCCCCAATGACCACTACCATATGAAAGCTGGATGTTTGAGTCATCATCCTTAGAGTCAACACAAAAGTCAGTCTGCAATGCTCCCATTCTCTGGCCAAACATGTTGAATCCTGTCACAGTAAAGTCTTTTCTCTTTACTAGAATCCTGTCGTAACGCTGAGGCCTCTTGTCAAAGTCGCTGCGAGTAGTACTTTCGGCAAGGTGATTGACTATTGGATCAAAAGTTGCCCCTGTTTCACCTCCTAAAGATTTCTTGAAGTCCGGTTGTCTCAGATCCAGCTCCGGCAGATCGCCGTATTGAACGCATGCAGAAGCCCAGGCGTCTACCAATCCCACCTCAGTGAGTATTTTTTCAGCTGCATCCAAGAGATCTCTGCTACGTAAAGATATTTCCTTCCTCTTGACTGCCGTTTCGATGGTATACACACTGGTCGGAATGTTGAAGTCACCAACTAATACCAAAGGATTTCGAGGGTATTCCCCGGAAAGGCGACCGAGGAGAGACCATAATTCCCCTACATTCCTCTGTACTGAAGCATCTGTGAAGCCTGGACTAAAATGAATGGCAGATAGAATGGCTGGTATGAAAACCCCTCCCTCGTGTTTCCCAATGTTGGTGAACTGTATGATTACAGAGCCTTTACAACCTTTGGAAAACGAAACCAAGTCCCAAGAGAAAGGCCACTTGCTCAACACTACAATATTAATCCGGCTTGGAAGTGGCCCTATATCGGATTGATCAGGGGGGCCGTTAGAGATAAAGGGGTAAATCTCCCGAACCCTCTTATCTTTACAAATATATGAAAGAAAGTCATCTGTGATTTCCTCTAGTACTAGAACGTCCGCTAGAGCTCGCACATCTAGTAGATTTTGGATTATGATAGGGTACCGAGCTCGAGTTGGAGGATATTGAAATTCCGCGTGGACGTTATAATTTGCAACCACTAGAGATTCCGGATTTGGTGATACCTGCTCAGCAGCAGGGTGTTTCTGCTTCTGAGTCCATTTAAATTCCGCATTAGAAAATACATATGGGAGGCGCGTTAGCGGACGGCATTCTAATCGAGTACTTTGTTCGTTACTTTCGGAACTAGCTGCGTTCTCGTCTCCGTAAAAGCTAACAGGATTTTGCATTGTTAATAAGGTAAAACTTTCTAGATCGATTTCTCCCCATATCTTCATTTGGCTAGGGACGCTGGGATCGATCCGGGTCTCGTCCTTGTCTCGTACAAGGATATAAATCTTTTCAGCCCTCCATTGAAGGGCAGAGAAAGGGCCGAGTACTTGTACTGCAAATTTATGTAGCGGGTGTGTTAAATCGTCTGTTTTTCCAATGGTCATACGTAATTGATCATCGTTGCTATGATTTCGCTTTAGTGATGATGGGAGAAGACTCCGTAAAAATCTAAAGTGAAATGGTGTGTTGCCGCATAAGAAATACGTTGTCTTCTTCTCTTTGGTGTCCTTGGCGTCCTTGGTGAAGGTACCTGTACCATCCAACTGTATATATGGTGGATAAGGTTGATTTTGGCGCTGCCGTAAGAGCAGGGAGATGATTATTTCTGAAGCACCAGGCAGGTTATTTACCGAAACAAATGGGTATATAAGATTAATATGCGGTGGCCATTTTCTGTATGCTGGGTCGTGGATCATCCTCAAATGGTCTAGCCCTGGCCATAAATGCTTCGGCGGAATTATACACAGCGCTGTGTCATAACTACTGCCCATATCGGCCAATGCGACTGTTGAAATATCCATGGCTCTAACTTTTCCGCAAAGGCTTCGCTAAGGGGGTATCGAGGTTAATAGAAATAAAGAAAAGATATTTATCTGGATGTCAATAGATCGTAGAACAGAATCAAGGATAAACACGCTTTGCTTGGTCTAATTGTTTCAAACAATCGATACTTTAAAGGGAGAAAAAAAGGATGATAATTGCCAAAGCGAATGAAATAGAACAGGTCAGGATTATATATTGAAAGAATGAAAACTGTATCGGTCTTAATATTCTCAAGAAGTTCAAGAATATAGGTACGGTATTGGTATTAAGTGAAGTAATGAGGTTTTATGGTGGGATATGGAACCATACCACTGCGGTATAGCTGCGCCACTTTCATTCGCTATTTCCCCATTATGAGTAATACCTGAAATCCAATTACCTATTCCATAATTTGTGGATGATCAATAATTCTTCGGCGTGAGTCAACTCTAAGTTAGGCTTTACACATTGAAAGTACGACACTTATACATAGTAAGGTATTTAGTATAGCACGCTAATAGCGTTCCGACCCGCTGGGAATTAGTTACCTAGGTAGGTTAGGTTAGGTACCTATTATCGTTCTTTCCAATCGTCGTTGGTTTACCCCGCTAAGAATATACGATGAGGAAGCTACTATATTAAGTACCTTTTAATAAGGTAGCTGCATTAAGCCTTAATGAAGTGTCTTCTACTCTTCTATTTATAATCCAAAGAAATAATCTTCACGTGAACAGGTATGGTAGTTCGGTTAGCTTTGTTACATTGTATGACTACCTCATATAATTATATGCAATGCATTGAGAGGTGGGGGTGAACAACCTCTTATGAGGTAATTCATAACCCCACCATTACGTGGAGCGGGGATGAAGTCCTTACATACAATTACAACTTGTTGTGATCTCTTCATATCTTTCTTTTCTCATACCCTTAACTTGAAGATGTGGACAATCCGCTTTATACAGCACTTATATCGTTTATTAAAACTTAGACGAACTTCCAAGTCAGCATCTTATGAGCTTGTGTAAATTTGAGATTCAACACTTGAGTCTTAACAACGTTGACTTGTATATACACAGTCTACACGCCTAATACTCCTAGTCTCCCACTTTCTACTTTATTCGTCATACTAGGGTCCCCTACATACTGCCACGTGTGCGGAGAGTGCATGTCCTTGGAAGTTGCCCTATTGGGCTCCTGGGAGGTTATATAGACTCGGAGACGTGCGTAGATGTTTCCGTATAAGTGACGAACGCCATGTGTAATAGTATGATCCGGCACTTTGCCATGTGCTTCTCCCCCCCGCACTCCTATTATTGGCTGGCTAAGAAGTATGGCTGAATAGTGACGACGCTCTTCGATATTGATTATTGACCCTTGATGCGCCCCAAAGTTCATCCATTTCCATTCTAGAATTCTTCCATCTATTTGGAGAAACACCCCGCCCTCCGCATCATTCTATATTCATTAGGATGAACACCATCCGGTCTTCTCGCTATTATTCCCGGAACGGGATGGTACTAGCTCTCTTCCGATGATGCTATACTTGAAATGTCGAAGACAGGTATTTATAAGAGCTCCTCGAGAACGAGCAGATTATGACCTGCTTTCTTAGTGCGATGTATAAGACCTTCGAAACCTATATCACACTGTAGAGTCTCTAGCTATCAGATAGCTAATATGGATTCATCAGCTGGTTCTCTAAACTTAGCTCATGATGATAGAGCTACTGTACTCATCGGTGTAGTCTGTCTTGTATGCACCGTTGCTACAGCTGCCATAGGACTTCGATTCTATACTCGTTCCTGTATGCTCAAACAAGTCGGTGTCGACGACTATCTGGTATTAGCAGCATGGGTCAGTATTGTATGATTATATTATAACTAGCAAAAGCTGACCCGGCTCCTACTTGAAGGTATTTGCTCTGGCAACAGGAATTTCCCAATGTACAAGTAAGTACTTAATAGCAAGCCTCGGGATCAAATGGATAGCTGCTCATTATTCATAGACACACGTAACGGACTTGGTAAGCATGTGTGGGATCTGGAGAGCGACGTACAACGTAGGAATTATCTAAAGGTACGTTATCTGCTCTCCCCAGTGAGAGAGGATTGCCACTGACGACTAGATATTCTAGGGCTTTTATGTCTCCATTGCGCTTTACAATACGGGACTTATGTTCGTAAAGTTGACGTTCTTGACACAGTACTACCGGGTACTTGCTATCAAGAAGATGCGAACGACATTGATAATCGCCATGGTATTAATTGGCTGTTGGTCTATGTCCCAAATTGCTGTCGGTATCTTTATCTGCGATCCTGTTTCCGGGTTCTGGGAGAAATCGGCTGGGTCTTGTATAGGAAACTACCCTCAATGGTACATCAACGCAGCGGGAAACATTGCAACTGATATTGCAATATTTGTGTTGCCATTGCCGGTTCTCAGACATCTACATTTACCCAAGGCTCAGCGACTTGTCCTTATTGGGATCTTTAGCTTCGGCTTCTTGTAAGTTGCAAGACAAATTGATGTTTGGGTTGGGCTAAGCTAACGCGTGGTTAAGCACATGTGCGATTTCCGTCATCCGCATCAAATTTCTCCAGCTCGGAGGTGACTTTTCATACGAAAACGTTGAGGGATCTAGTTGGTCTATCACAGAGTTATGCTCGGGCATCATCTGTGCATGCCTACCTACACTACGACCTCTAGTTTCAAAGTGGATTCCCGCCCTCTCGAATCGCCTACATAAACCGGCAAGGAACTCGTGTATGGTAGGCGCTGAGAGAGGGAGCGGACATATGCGTGGGAACTCGGACGCAAGCAGAATGTCGAACATGAAAGGAAAGGATGAATTCTTCTATTACCTTGGCATGCAGGGACGCCTTAGTGATAGTCTGGAAAGTTCAGACGGCTCATTGGAAGCTGGGAGAGCGCGTGAAAGCTTGTCTAGCTACGGAGGAAGTTCGCCAACCCCGCCTCCGTGTGCTCATATCGCAACTCGCACTTCTCATAAGCCGACGGCTTATTACAATTGGATGAAGTCGTCCGTTACGACGGAAATTGGCACAGGTGGTCGAGAAAACCAGCAAGATTCTAACAAGAATCTTTCCACCACTGCTATCCAGGTCCAGCGTGACGTGGTAATGCAGTAAGTATAGGTACCTAGGTAGTAGGTAGACTCCGAGTTAATATAATCAAATAAAGTAATGCTTTCTTCCTAAAGCTCCGTTAAGGATATGAATCTGGATGGGGGGTCACATCGACTATTGCCTAGGAAGTTCTATCTACTACTTATGAGAACATTTTCATGGTTAATAGGACAAACTTTTAGGTGATTGTATTCTTACTCTCGAGCTTAACTTCTCGAGAAGTATTACAAGTAAGCTAGCACAAACCCTGGGGTATCTCTATAGCAATTCGCTCCGTCTATAATGCTACCTGGAACAGGAAAGAAAATGTTTTAGTAACTTCATATCTCTGAAGGAGGCCTCATGCACACGTCGTGGAATAACGCTTCGCATCGAGCGCTCTTCATAATGTTCCCTGTCGTTCCTTTAGTATGCTCAAAGCTCGAATCGTCACTCCCTTCGCTATGCCCATCTCCAACATGGACGTCACTAACATATCCCAAGTCGGCCGGAGGTTCGTAATGGTTGAATAATTGTGGGTTGACAACAATACACTTCAGTTTCTCGTTCTTACAATATCCAGACAGCGCAACGTCAAATGCTTCGTTGCTGCCCCGCGATAAAAGAGGCACCATTTTCTGCGCACCTTGCTTTGTCACGCCGAATCCGAAAGTGCAGACAGTCATGTGGGCTGCTTGGACTTGACGATGGCCCTCAGTCAGCTTGTCCCTTAAAAAGCGCTTTGACCACCCCGAGTATAGTGGAGTCTCGCAGCGGGTGTCATCCGCGAAAACGCGAGGCGGGGGCAAGTCGTCTGTGATGCTTGAGCCGCAGTGGCCAAGCCACAGGACATCCCAGTCGGTCCCAAAGGGCGTAGGATCGTCTTCGGCAACACCCGTGTAGGCGCGAACATTATCGGACACGAGTCTCATTTCCGCCTTGATCCGAACATCCCAGTCGACGTCATCTTCTACGATAAACGCAGTTTCGAAGCCTGATGCTATCACATATTTGAGTAGATCAAGATGCGCAAGCCAAGCTTTGGCCGAGCCGGGCGCTGGCAGCTTGGCACCCTTCTTATCTGCACCGAGTTTCCGGAAAGCTTCGACTAGCTCGTCGGAATTCTGCCCCTGGGGTGGAATTGTAAACTCCAAGTCGGTGAGTTTAGCAGCTGCTTCAAGGCCTCGGGTTCTCCAACTCGGTTTATTCGAAAGCGCTACTAGTTTTTGGAACTATGCGCGGGTTAACATTGTCAAAGTGGAATAGTTTAAGTAAACAAAAGATCGCTTACTCCTAATGTGGCGTTCGCTGCTGTCTCCCGGGGAGATTGTTTGATGATGCGGAAGTTCGGGCCATTGTGTAACTGCGAATAGACGTCGAACCGGCTTTGCAATAACCATAGACTTAAGATGAGAAGTATAACAGCTAACCCTATAGATCTTTTATTCCGCATAGTAGTTCCATGATTTGTCCAACTCGACTGCATCATATCGCGATGACGAAGAAAATACCCGGGTCACAGTTACGGCGGTTAGCAAAGAACCAAAAGAGAAAATAGACATTCTAGAAAATATCTGAGGCACAGAATGGAACATAATGGGAAAGATATGGGGTAAACTGTCAATTGAATACTCCAGTTCGGAGATAAAGTCTTACCGTTCCCTCGTCAGCTCTGTAGATCTCGACTAGATTATGTCTGCCAGATGCTGTAAAAATAGGCGTGTCCAGCCGAATTAACCAGTTCAATACGCGGGATACGATATAGTCTAGCCGTTTATTGGGTGCTATCCACCAAACCCGCATCGCCCAATGTAACCCATGCTGCTGACGCTCATCTCACGGTTGCAAAGCCCGCTCGTACGGCTGACATGAAAGGACTTAAAACATGGTATTCGGCTAACGTGATGCCGGTTAATACGGTTGACTTTGGGGTAGACCAAATCCTAGAGCCAATAGAGAGCCAACTTACCAATCAAAAGGCCAGAGCTTTCTATGCACATTTACAGAATTAGCCTCATTATCAACTCAGATGAAGCCGCTGAGCCTCGAACGATCACGAGCTGCAGCTTGCGTACCTATGCATCAATGCGCACCAAATAGAAAACGGTTGCTATTATTCCGAGAAAAGTATCGTGATCTTGTACCCGTGAATCTTTTCTACCTATGTAAGAGAAAATACTGGTGGGACTTTCTTTTAGCTAGATGCCAAGAGACTGCATATGATGTCGCTAAGATCATCCACTTATTAGGGGTCTCGTTTAAAGATTGTATAATTGGACTACCTAAGTAGCTAATGTAGCTGCCTAAATTCTCCATAAGATACATATTATAGTAAATTGCCTTTCCGTATACAGTTAGCTAGATGATTATTTGTCTCGGAAGCCTTTTATAATTATTCCACTTGGTATTGTTTTGCCCCTTTTAAGGGGAGAAGAATTACTGAGTTGTCATCAATTGACAGACTTCAAGGTACGGAATACTAGGCTGATTTCTCTTCCGCCTCTGAGAACTCGGCTTTGAGGCGAATTTATAATTTTTAAGTCAAATATCAGTTTTATAGCGTTACTGGAAGGCAAGCCTCCTTATAATCTCCTAGTAGATATACCCTGTTTAGAGCATTTACTACGTGGACTAAGGGGCAACAAAACAATTTCATTGGTCAGAAAGGAACTCTAACCCTTGGGTAGCCGTAGCTATAATTTCATACCTCCGAAAGTATCCTTTGTCTAAACACCTAATACAAAATCTTCACACAGAAGGCAATTTCAATTACCTGAGCAATACCTTTCTAATAGGCTATTCTAACCAGTCTGGTTGAAGTTTCCACTCTATCATAGGCCTTGACCACTATATTACTTAGCTTTTTCTAACCGTTTTGTTGCCATACTACCCTCCTATTAAGTAATGCTATCGTTCTAAACCCTAACCCTCAACGTACATAAGTTCAATGACAAATTTAATTTTATATAACTTCCGTACAATTCTAGGTCTCTCAAGTGTTAACTATAATATAAATCGTCAAAGGATATTATATAGAATACCGTAAATCCACATACAATTATGCTTAGTGAGATAATTTATGAAGACCGTTCCACATGATATAGCCCGGTTATTAATTAATGGATGCAGGAACTGTCACGGTCAGGAGTCAGGCATCCTGGATCCTTATGTATATATAGCCTTGCAGCGAGCTGCAAGGCTCGGAACCCAGAACATCATCGTTTTCCTTTATGACCTTTTGGACTCGCGATAGGAACTTACTCGTATTGATGAATTAATATAGACCTTAGAGTACTCGGTGTAAGAAATCTTATTGTTAATACATTTACTTAGTTACTTAGGTCTACGGCAGAAGTTGGGTTGACTCCAAGTGACTAGGAAATATTTCTTCATTAATAGCAATCACTGCTATCTTAGCTCTTTGAACCTCACTCAATATCTAGTAGTGAGCATTTCACCTATTAGTATAAGTATCCTAACCTCAAGATGAAGATAATCGGTTAATTAATTGGAATCTTTCTGATCCACTGACTCCAAAAACCATGAGCATCTTTGACAGTAGCCTGCACCTTTGTATCCATATGTACAATATCGTTGCCCAGCAGAATATCATGTGGGGCGAACTTTGACTCGCGGAATCTAATTTGGTTGCCTTCTACATTTGTCATTTCATCTGAGAAACTGGATATCACATCATGAAATTCTTCGTGCGTCCCAGCCTGTATGAATATAGGCGTTTTGGTTTTAAAAGGGTGCTGCAATGGTGAGATCAAGGCTTGTGTTTCTAGGGTCAGATCACCCTTGGGTATATATACATTTGCCTCCCAGTCCAGTAGAGGCGCATATAGGAGATCAATGTCTGAGTTCCGCGAACTCTCGTAGTCCTAGCCGGCATGTGGTATCACGTGAACCATGGAGACCACATAATAGCACTACCTGTTTTATATCCGTGGATTAGTATTGGGTTTATTAGAAGCTCATATGGGGTATCTAGTATATCGTATACGACATATCATTGTAGGTAATTGCATCAAATTATTCGCAATATCTATGACGTACCTGGCGAAGGGAGCTTCCCCAGAGACGTCTCCAGGGATCGTAGTAAAGCAATGACAATATTGCCACCCGCCGAATCCCTACAGATGATGATATCCTTGGGGGCAACCCTTAGACCGAGGACGTAGTTATATACTATTAATGCATCTTGAAGAAGAACAGGGAAGTCTATTCCAGGAGCGGCTAAGCGATACTGCACATAAATGAGTTTGGCCGTTTTGAAGTATGTCGCAAGGCAACCGGACAAAGATTTAGCCATCTCATTTGGAGGCCAACCAAGTACAAAGGCGCCGTCAGGGAGATGAATGATGACCTTTTGGCCATTTCCCTGGTCTTGCCGAACTGGAGTCGGATGCCAAATTGCCCCGACGGGAGTTGGCTTAATATCCGGAGAAGCCAAAGCCCCAGAAAAGAGTGCTGGATCGGGCGGGGCGGAGGGGTTAACGTAAAGTTTTCTCCCGACTTTCCAGCTTCCAGCTGCCTTGGATATTGATACCGTGTTGCTGTCATATAGCGGAAAGGGGTCCGGAGAGAACTTCCCTCCCAACACACACACTAAGTTTCCATTCGGGTACAGGGCGGAGAGACTTGAACGCATAGCAGGCTAAGAGCAGCGGTAAGGATAAAGTAGTCTTCAACGTAAACAACAGAATATATATCGCTTTAAAAGGCTAGGCAGCCCACAGGAGAGCCATGATAAATATGAAGTTTAACGGCGACCGGAGGAACAAGCGACTGAGTTGTGTGTGCTATGTATGATTGCTTTAGGTGGCCAGGTGCCTCCTAATGAAGGTAGATAGTTAATATGAAGAGATCAAAGAAAAGGATTTACAGCAAAGTGGGGGATAAACGTACCTTACACCCCTACAAAGGTTATAAAAATGAATTATCGAAAGATTAGCACATCTTGTATAGTTACCGTATATGGGTAGGTTGAAGAGTTGTAGATGTTGGAGGGATTGTTGTTAGATTACCCCGAAAGATACATTCATACCTAATGTACTTCTTAAGAGCATTGGTGCTAAGGTTATGTTAGGTACCTGATAATTCAAAGCGAAAACGTGTTGATGGCTTTGTTTAGAATTAATAGCGGCTGGTAATCGTATAATTTACCTAACCAACATCCATTCTTGTACCCCCTACCCCGCCGCCCCTTACATGTTAGGTTACTTCTATATCGTGACTGACCAAAATCCTCCTTGAAGGTATTGGTTCAAGGGCAACTTCTGAACCGTCATTGTTACCTTCTGCCCAGGTCCTCGAAGTTACGTTATGCTGACCCCCTTTTATCTTAGCCCAAGGGCGTTCCGTGCTGAGAACTTTTGATGCTCTACTTGAGCCGGTAGAGTTTGAGAGCCGCAGTTTGAATATCTCACGCAAACCCCGGATGGATCGAAGTTGCTTAAGTATGGGAAGAAGAGGGCCAAACGTAGGTAGGCAACTGCAGATGATTGCTAGGCCTAATTGTATTGTAGACCAGAGTCCTATGGAACCAAAATTGTCTGGGAAATCATGAGCATATACCAGGAAGCTAAACTGAAGGGAGACTCACAGCCTCTTAGAATGTCGGACGGGTTCCAGATTGCTGTCAATCGGATAATACTTGCAATGCATACACTGTATATATATCTGGGTGAGAGTAGTCAATTGAGATTATTGAGTTGTTACTTACAGCGCACCTAGCAGAAGAATACTGAGGACTGATATCTTCTTCGAGGTCTGAAGATTTAATCGTGATATAGTGACAGTTGGTATGCATAAGACTGTAACATCAAGGAACAAATTCGTCAATTCGTAGCCGAGAAGAACACGCGGAGTATCGAGACACCAAGGCGCTGAGTTGAGCTTTTCCCAAAATGCCTGGATTGGCTTGCATTGGAAAGTCAGAACAAACGTAGCGACGAGAAACCAGACAGTACAGGCGACTGCTGTTACTAGGATTACGATTCGGAGGCGATTATTGACGGCAAACAAGTCATAATAAAACCAGAGGATGCTGAGTTTGACCGAGGAGATAACGAAGGTGAATAGGAGCTCAGTCGCATATGAGCACTACTCAATAGTTAGGTACCTGTTGGAGCAACAACATGTGTAAAGGGGTTATCATACCTTCAAGAGATTCACCATCTCAGTCAGTTGTTCAGGTGTCGATATGTTGAAAGAGACATCGTAAGCGTGGAAATGGGAAACGTTGAAGATAACTTATAGGTTAGTAGGTAGTTTAGCATAGTTATAAATAATATCTTAATCCACGTCAAGTCTAGTGGGACTTGATGATAAACAAATTTCAAATACCTACAATTGATAACCAAAGAACAGTATGCGATTAAAAATGCCAGTGACGCAAGACACAGCCAGTCGGAACCATGCAGCCTCTGTCGATGAATGAGTTTAATTAAGAATCTCGTAAGAACCGCTGTTGTGGTTAAAGACAGCATAACAACACACGCGATAAAATTCTGGCGCGCGTTTTCTGTGAGGACAGCCATCATCACAGGCGAAAACGGAAAAGTGGTATCCTCTCCAGAGTTTGAACATTAGTTTTTAATTATTAATGAAAGGCTGGTAGGGGTATTTCAATCGGCTGGGTGTCGAGATGGGGTACCCCAGGTATCATCAAGATCAAGGCACAGCATGTTAATCTTACCACGAGTAGCCATATGTCAGATCAAATTCTTGACGCATATTTGTCAAGGATGAGTTGGAGGATGACCAACTGACATCGATCTGCAGCCCCCAATGCTACTATTATACGTTGAAATAGCTAGGATTGGGTAAATATATGTCAGAAGGAATTGAATCGATATTGTAATATCTTTGTTATAGGCATATATAAGTGAGCTAGATACATATTATGCGATTATGTAGGATAATACGAAAAAGGTTGAGACTTTAAAAGTTTCAATACTTCGTAGGAGCCATATGTATAACCATTTTGAACATGCCCAAAGCGTGTGAACGGATCACAGAAATGTGATGTATTGTCTATACTACCTTCCTTAAACGACGAACCTATAGGCTACTAAACTCTTAACCACTTCTTAAACACTGGCAATTATATACAATTAGTGGACAAAAAAACCGAACACTTTAAATTTTAATATATTAAACTTCATTTAAATTTACAACGTTTAATAATATTATATTAAAAAAATTATATATGTAAACTGATATTTATTTTTCTTATTATATTTAATTTTAATTTTAGATCTTTAAAAATGTAAAATTTAAAAATGTAAAAAATACATGTTTATATAATTGTTTATTAACCATTTTAAACCTACGTTATAATTTAAAATGTTTAATTTTCAAATTCTTCTATTTTTTTATTAAAAATAGATTTCATTTAATTATAAAAAATATCATTTTTATATTTATACAATCAAATTTGGTAAAGTTATGATATTTTAAAAGTAGTGAGTTTAATGAAAAAACGTAATTTTATATTAAAACCTTATAAAACATATACATTTTAAAAATTCGTAACTTTACCAAATTATATAATATAAATATATAATTAATATTAATAAACTAATAAATGGCTATTATATCTATAGAAAATGGTAAATATTAAATAATACGATTATTGAAATATTTATAAATTAATTAATTTATATATAATTATTATACTTTTATTTAATATATTTTAATGTTCATTTATAAAATATAATAATAATAAAAATCATAATTATTAAATATTTATTCCAGATAATATTAAATTAAAAACCGTATATTTTTAGCTAATTTACTTGTAAAGTTATTAATTTTTGAAATATGTAAGTGTTGGAATAAAATGTGCGGTATTTTTGTCCACTAATTGTATATTATATTACTTAGTGATAGTCTCGAGTAAGTTGAAGTGGTCTATCCAATCGTGCCATCTCCATGGTATATAGAATAAAAATGAAGCGCAATATATGTCGCATATGTTAGTAAACTCTCGTTAGACGAGCCAATATGGCGGATCCCGTAACGAGGAATTGACGTCCTGCATCTATATCAAGTTCATTTAATCGAATTCAGAACCCCAGTCAATCAACTTAATACCTTTTCCTCTGCCTTCCATGATGCACTCAAGTTTATCCTCATTTGTAACCCAACCTTGACGCTTCGTCCCAATGGCAAATCTGATTGGGTCACGCCACTACAATAGTGATAGTCAGTAATTTATTCTTCAACTAACGAGTCTGCGAATCTTTTGGAAGTAAAAACGTTTCAATCAACTTGATTTCGAAGCTTTGGGCTCGGGGTAGACCAAAAGGAAATTCTAGGCGTTTACGTACCTCCTCCCACCACGTCTTTTCGCTCTGCACGACACACTTTCGACCCTGCTCGCCATTCTTACTGGTCGCGAAAGGCCACACGGCCTTAACAACCTCGTATTTGCTCTTGCTCGAGAATAGAGAGGTAACGCTCGTTAAGAATTTATTGTGCTTGTCCGGGTTCTGGATGATGACTTTGGCGTGTGTGATGAGGAATTGCACTGTGACTTGGCCTTTATAGTCTGTAGAGGCAACAAGGCTCCGCACCTGGCCTTCTAACCAATTCGTATCGAAGTTTGCTACGACCCGCTCGACCGTGAAGCTCTTTATGGTAGTTGAATCTTTGACGAACCGGTCACACCACGCCTCTAGTCCGTTATCTGCACCAAAGTCGGGCTTCAGCCCGGGATCGCTACCGCCACGAAGAGCTACTTCATCTTTACTAACGCATCGGAGATAGTCAAGACGGTCCTTGGGATCATTAGGAACGAGCAAGTTCATCAGATTTAGCTTAATACTGAAGTCGAGTTTGCGACCACGGTTTCCTTGTATGATGATTTGAGGCTTTGGAGGCACCGTAGCAAGGCTTCGCACAAGCGTAGCTAAAGCCCCAGCATTTTCAGAGAGATAATTGGCTTTGCTGGTGATAGTTATGCTATCTGGCGACAGGTCAAACAAGGGCGGCAAATATTGGCGATAGTCTAATATGGGCAGGCCAGGATAATATTGCGGGCCTTTCGGTAATTGTAAGCGGGCTTGGAGATCTTGAAAGGTGTCCGAAGGACTTGAGTAAGGCGGCGGCTGGTGCGACGCGTTTCCCGTATCATCTCCGACCGATAGCTCCGTTGAGATATCCGTAGAAAGCTCTCCTGCCGGTAAGGAACCCCTACTAGCTCCGGAGGGATCTGACGGGCGGTGGACTGGACCGGATGATCGTGCGGTCTTGTCAGTGACGATAGACTGGCGACGATCCATTCCTGTAATGTTGCTAACTTATGTAGAAAATAATTGTGTTTGCATTTGATGGAACTGCCAAGCCTCGGAAGACCAGGGGTTTAAAGGGGGTGAATTAGGTACTTAGAGTAGTAGCAAAGTACAAATAAAATAGCCAAGAATATGAACTAAATATACTACTTTGGTCTCCCTTGATTTTAAGGGAAATAGAAAAAAAAGAGAAACTGGTGAGAATTTGAGCAATTGAAAAGATGTTTTGCAGAGTCAAAGCTGAAAGACGATCGCTATTAGGATGGGTGGCGCAGTAGAAATGACGATGCGGAGCAAAAAGCAAAGATTCGATGTTGGTCTTACATATTAGGTACAAAGTACATCTTTATACCTGCTTAGACGTTAGCGATACCTAGTATTGAATTAACTGCTGCCTACGAATAGCGCCCGTGGCGGTGTTTACGCCCAGCACTGCGCCTAGTAGAGAGGAGGTACCTCCTAATGTAGGTAATGGAGACTGAAATGATAGCACATCTAAGCCACAATAACATTTATACCTTCAGACCTCTTATTCAAATAGAAAACACAGCCCTAGAAACTAACATATACATATGCAGTTCCTAGGTATACTCTTGGCATTCTTAGCATAATCCCGTAACTTCATTCTTAGAAGCCACCCTTCATAGGTTGAAAATCCGTGACTTGACTTCTTCCTCTATATATTCAACCCAATATTTCGCGCCGTAAAGCTCCTCTCTAAGATGTTGAGTTTCCGTACCGATAAGCAACGTCTCATATTTCAGCTCTAGACGTGCATACCTCTCAGCCGTTTGATAAGCCCCGCTGTTAAGCGCGTATCTCGAACATTCGCGAAGCCTATTATCATCGTCACTCTCTAAGTACCTACTATAAGACATAACATCGAAGACTCAAACTTCAAAGACAGGTACCTAAGTAAGTTAGGTTAGGTACTTACGTTTTACAGAGCTCCATACCACATAACCGTTGTTTCTTGAAAAGTTTTACAAGTTCCTCTGCGGCCTTGAGGGCTTGCTCGTTCGTCTCGAGCTTGGGAATACCCTCAAGATGTGCTTCTTCGGACGCGCCGCACTCGTATGCCGCTAGGGCTTGATCGAGGACTAGCATGCGATATCGTAACTGGTCAAGTCTATCATCGGTACAGGCCGCGCAGTTGCAAGTAATGTCCCATGCGGTATGCAATGAGAAGTTGCGCTGGTTGCGAGTTCGACATGCCTTGCCAATATAATCTACGAATATTTGTTCGCCGGCTTTGATGTCGTGGATCGCGTGTATAGTCAACCGCTCTAAAGTTGGGTTCCAAGAGTTGTAGGCGTTAGGGACGCAGGAATGGTTGATTCGGGTATATAGGGGGAAAATACCCGAGCCGTATTTCCCACCAGGTCCTAGCTGAACATTGTTGACGAGGTAGATCATACAGAGATTAATTGTTCTGTTAACTATCCTCCCCAGCTTTTTCCCCTTTAGCAACTTTCCGTCGCTGTTTTTCAACTTCCTATTCTTGTAGAAGCACCAAACTCGGTTATCGACATGACCTCCTTTTTTAATAATACCTACCACTTTAGAGCTGTAAGGTAACTTTTCTAGCTCCTTGGATTTACCATCAGTGATTTTGTCGACGGCATTGCACAACTCCCATAGCTCTTCATCGATAGAGTTGATAGGTGGTACTGTGATCAGTGGAGTCTCGGCAGCAATACGCGTTCCGCGGGAGATGTTAACTTTCGCGAATATCGCTTCGCCAATAGAAGCTAGCTGGCGAACTTCTACCATTTCCCACGGGTTGGCGTCTTGCGGCTTTAGCGACTTTCCTAAGAAATTCTTAACTTATGTATAAATCTCACCTTCTGAAATTGTGTTGTTCATATCCATGCTTGCGCGGTTCGGATATCCCGTTGATTCACTAAGTTTGTGCAATATGGTTTCAGGAACTAGATGTATAGATAGTCTTCCGAAATGATAGTAGATGGTAGTAGATAGTGGTGGATTATTATGATTATATAGGTATACGGGGTGGTATGGCATATTGTTCTTTGGTGCTGGGCTGCCTAGTATCATTGCTATGTGGTCTTTAACATGCTTAATGTCTTAGTGTCTCACTTAACTAGAAGCAATCTGCCTCAGTGGCTTTAGGTCTTTGATCAGTGCTTTCTGACACCAGATATACAGGTTGTTTATCATTTTTAACACATATGTCGCAGTGATTTTGTTCTAGTCGCGTTAAATTTCTCTTTCTTGTAAGCTCTAAGAAATACTTCTTCTCAAAGTGGCAAGTAATATTGATATAGCTTGAAGTTTCAGATGTTATAGTATAATACCCAATATGTTTTCTAGGTATAGTTCCTAAATATTATAGATATATGCATGTCTCTGATGAGACTCTCTAGATGTCGTCTAGATATTCAATTCTCAATTTCTCTCAATTCAACTCTATATCTTCGATTAGTAGATACTTGATAATCAATCACGCTAGCTATCCTTTATCATGACTTACACATATACTCCATTTATAATGTCCGGTTTCTCTTACGGAGGCAGCTTTATGCTCTTGCATGACCAAGCGGATAATATAGCCGAAATCCGATGGGAGGAAACGATCGACCACGAACGAACCAATGATAGGCTAGAAGAGTATTCGAAAAGGGAAACACTCCACTCCTCCGTTCGGCGGTTTTAAGTACACTTTTCATCTACCCAAACCTCTTCATCCTCGTCGAGAAGTCCTTTCGAGATAAGATCGACCGCCGTTTGCTTTACTCCAAGGCGGGATGTGTAATTTAGGCAAATTGCGTCCCCCTAAGACCAAAGGACGTCTATGTCACCGGCGCTTGAACATAAAGTACCAACCCGCAATTAGCTTGTGCTTGAGCCATAGAACGTGTATTAAATTCATATAGAACTCGGCATGTCTTGCATAGAATAATGCCTAGCGACCCGTATCCGGGTACTACTACCGGACGCAGTTATATTTAATCTCTAGCTGGCCCCCCTTAAGCTCCCCTAACCCTTCTTCATCTCCCAAGGAACCTGAGAGTCGACTTCATACCTTCAGTCTATCAAATAGTTTTCGAAATGAGGTCCGCTGTTGCCGCTCTCGCCCTCTCTACGCTCGCAGCTACTGCTGCTGGGCACGCCACCTTCCAGGAGTTATGGGTTGCTGGAAAGGATGAAGATTCTACTTGCGCTAGACTTCCGGTACGTTACGCATAACATTCTAATTAGAATGCACGACATACAGTGGTGACCGATTATTAACATTAGAATAGGCAAACAACAATCCTGTCACCAGCGTAGCTTCCAATGATATCCGCTGTAATGTTGGAGGCACTAAAGCCGCGGCCGCTAAGTGCAGCGTAGCTGGTAAGAATATATTCTGATCATGTGGTTTTCACATTCTGACAGCATTCTAGCCGGTGACACCGTGACGGTAGAGATGCACCAGCAGCCTGGCGACCGTGACTGCACCAGGGAAGCCCTTGGCGGAAACCACTTCGGCCCCGTCATGGTATACCTGAGCAAGGTATCGGATGCTGCTTCGGCCGACGGATCCTCGTCTTGGTTCAAGATCTTCGAGGTCGGCTACGACCCTGCTACCAAGACATGGGGTAACGACCTCCTCAACAAGGGCTGCGGCAAACAAGACGTCAAGATCCCGTCCGATATCGCCCCTGGCGACTACCTCCTCCGTGCCGAAACCATAGCGCTTCACACCGCAAGTCAGGCCGGCGGCGCACAGTTCTACATGACCTGCTACGTAAGTTATAACCTTTGAAATGCTTAACAAAACTATTTGTGGAAGTAATATTACGTGTGCTAACATGAGTGAATAGCAAATCACGGTCACTGGTGGAGGCTCTGCTAACCCAGCTGGAGTCAAGTTCCCCGGTGCATACAGCGCCAGCGACCCTGGCATCAAGGTCGATATCTGGGGCAACAGCTTCACCGAGTACAAGATTCCTGGCCCGCCTGTGTACGAGGGTTAGGTTCAAATATCAAAGGCAAAGAGGCGCTGTTTCGAGAAGACACAGGCATAGGATCATGGCGTCGTAGCGAGCATGTAGTTGCATTTACAACTATGTAAGTATGAGTTTTAAGCATTAGACCGTTGGACAATATATACTTCGTTGCCTCGAGAAATACTTAGTACAATATACTACGGTATGCATCCAGCGCAAATGAAATAGTTCTTTATGTTGAGCGTAAATATTTGCCAATAACTTAGATCCTTAGCTAAGAGATAGCCTCGGCAAATTGACGGTATTCATTAGTATATTCACCTGAGCACCGCGTGCAAAATAGGTACCTCTATGAACATCTATAAAGCAACAGAGCCATACCATAAAGCCTGAGCAACACCTATAAATAACACACGTGGAGTATCTAGAGCTTTGCGTAGATCATAGCGATAGTTGACTTATCAATGAAACAAATCTCCTTACTCCGCCACGAAAACTTAATCAAAACTTAAGCTCTCAGTCTAATAGCACTTTATTCTATAACTTGAACTTTATGATCTATAACTTGGGGACGAATTACCACGATACCCCAAAGGTTAATAATCCGATCCCAACCATCTACATTTAAATCATGTTAAGCCAAACTTCTCTTCTCTCCAAGCGACGAAATAGCATATATTATAGCATAAGAAATTGAGGTACCTAGGAGGAAGGTGTGTAAGGGGCATAGTTTCATTACGTTTCGAAAGGAGATAAGCAATAGTACGAATATTAGAGAGGGGAGTTTCCGACAAGTTGTAGAAGAATACTACTCCATTAGAGAATCTTTACGAAATGCACCATTATTCTTGAATTTAATGATATCCCACCGGACACTTTGTTAAGAGCCATCCATCTTCGGTTGTAATCCGGCGGTTCCCTTTTATCGATTGTAAAACCAAGGCCTCCCATCGGTAACACTCTGCCCACTGTTGACTAGAAACTAAAGATAGTGAGCGCATGAGCGATGTAAACCTAGTAGCCGACATGAATGTGGTGACTTGGGATGAATTGAATTATACAATCCGTCTAGCGTCAATAAGGCCCTTCGTGCTATGTTTCAGGTCGAGTGTGTAATAAACAACATATCCAAGAATTAACATGTTTACTAGTATATGCGCTACAATCCCACTCATGGAACGTATGGTCGGCAGTTGAGCATTCCAAGGTATATAATCTAGGCCAATGGTGTCTAGACATACAAATCCCCTAAAAGAGGTATGTATCACTTAGCGACATATGTTGAACCTAAACTATATCTACCTTGCCAATGCTAAGTTTGATTATAAGGGGGCGGTGTAGTATGTATTGAATGGGCTTGTGCCGTGTTGATTGTCTATCTAAAATTTGTAGCTTTTATTCACCGTCCGTGAGTATTAGCATAGTCGTTTTTTTATAAACTTTCATATTACTATCCAGGATTTATTATCTAAAATTTACTATCTAGGATATTCCGACACTGTCAGGATTCTAGATGATACATTTAAAACAAAGTATACTATTAGTATATCATAGCCATAGGCTCCCGGAGGTAACTTCGGGATCCTCGCGAAACAACATTATTTCCCTGCCTTCTTACTCTACCTCAATGACTGCCATGTCCGTGTAGATTCCGTGGGTTAAAACCGTATAGGATCATTGCGCGATAGTAGCATAAACCCTCTTGGCTTGGGCTACAAAGTATAAATAGATGGTGGCTTAGTGAAGTATCTACGCCATCCTTCTTCGCCGTGAATTAGGCTGGTATAAAGATGTGGGATTGAGTAGACCCGTCTGTATAACGTTAGCTGACAACAACTCTAAGAAGGGGGGGAAATGAAACTTACAGATACTGCCATTCCTTTCCGACGTCATCATCGTATTCGTAGTCGTCGTAGTCGTTGCTTAAGGTATTGTTCTTCTCCCAGTCTGCTTCAACTACAATTGCTATAACATCTTCCCATGCGTAGCCTGGTTCGCAGTCGCCGCGTGAAGCCTCCAGTCTCTGAAACCGATCCAAGACCTCGTTGTCCACATAGAGAAAGTAGTTGTATCGTGGTCTACAAATGCCTTTCTTCTCTTCTAAGGGTATAGTAAGAGTCCAGTGACGGAACTCCTCGCGAACCTCCGATATTGACTTGCCATTCAACTTTTCCTTGTCTTCTTTAGTCAGAAGCTCGAATCCCGAATGTAGTTTTGTACGACGAGGAATTCCGCAGGTGAATGGATTCCAGGAAATTGGAAGGTCAGGCTCCGGTTGTGATTTGATAGCATGCGTTACAGCAGCTTCAACGTATTTTAAATATCTCTCCCATAATGCTTGGTCATCGTAGGTCGTACGGTAAATGAAGAGGCCCCATTTCCGATCAATATTGCTGAGTCCTGCCTGGTAGGGCAGCACCGGAAGATGGATCACCATGTTGGTAGTATTATTGTTTGAGTCTGGGTGGCTTATTGTGAATTATTTCGTAGATCAAAAAACCTCTAAAAGTTTCTGAATGGTAAATGAAGAGAAAAGTATTTGTGAAGAAAGGAGAAGAGTAGGTAAAAAGGCTGGGTCTTATATAGTATTATTAGATGCGAAAAAAGGTTCATATTTTACCAAGACCATCCAAAAGTTTAGACCTCTCAGGTAAAATTTTATCCTTGCGTTAGGAAAAGACGGATTGAGAACTCAAAGATGGTTAACGGAAGGCAAACCACACTCCTAAAGGAAATTTAAATTTAGTAATAGAAGATGGTAAGCAGGGATTAACTAATTCACTTCATGTGTATAATTTTAATCACCTTCTAAAGTGTCATTCAAGTCGTATTCCTCACGGGATCTTTTTGTGAAATTCGGGAAGCGAAATTGTTAATTTATAGTAAGGTTTCCTATAAACCCTTGGGCAGTTTTATAGTTAGATATTATAAGGACCCGAGCGGTAAGTGGTATTATAACTTTGTTAAAGCAAAGAGAATTATAAACTTAATTAAAACTAGATAGGTTAGGTACTTAAGACTACTGAGATAGCTTAAAGGTCTTCGTCTTAGGTGCCGCAGGGACATATAGATCTAAGGATTAGTATAGATTATCAAGCATCTAATTGTCACTAGTATGCACTCAGTACCTAAACAATCTGTCCAATATTTGGTCATAGAAGGTATAGTATTCGTTTACATCCTCAGGTATGAGGGTTAATTAACCGTATACGTGCCAGATATACGAAGACATAATTGTTTCAAGCATGATTTATGTGATTAATGTGGTAACTGAGCTAGGGTTATGTACTCTAATCTAAGGACATAGATTTTATATCATTTAAAGAATCGCAATACCAAGCCATCTACTTCGTTGTCTACTTTAGCTAGAACCTTATCCTCGTGTTTGCCTTCGCGATGTTGCTCGCTTCTAAGGAAGGCTCTTGTATCCGGGTCAAGAACGGAGATAAGAGTTGGTAGTAAGTCGGTCTTCTTCGTCTCGAGCTGTAACCTAATAGAGTCGATGATTGCGCCAATGACAAATAAGCAACCTGCAACAAAAACGACAATAGGAAGCACAAAGAATTTCCATTGCACGCGAGTATAAACAACCCACTGTTCCGAAGACCCATATGCTATACTGCCATCTATCTCTCGCATCCTGTTCGATAGCAGACGAGCAGCATTGTCGAACGTGGTTGTGATATTAGTAGAATTTGATAAAGCATATTGTATAGACTCCAAGGTATTGCTTTCTGCCAAATTTCTTATCGATGTGACGGTAGACTTCTGCGTAATATTGAAAACCCGTTGAACGTGCTCCGGGATGTTGATTTTACTAGGAATCTCTACCTGAAGATCGGTTCTTTCTAAGATGAACGCTACATTTTTTGTTTCCGAAAAAGCTTTTACGGTTCTATCAGCGAGGGAATTTCCATAGTCTTCTTGGATTATATCCAGAGTTTCCTGCGAAAGGGCTTCTATCGGCTGAAATGAGTTAATAACAGTTGAAGTCGACTCTATTATAGTAGACTCAACCACGTGGCCGTTTCGCACTGTTGCTTCATGGATGCGCCCGCAATACTCCAAAGCACACTCGGTTGCTTTTGGAGTAGAATCCTCAATGGTAATCTTATTGTTCCAGTAGTCGGCCGGGAGTTCAAGGATGACAAAGGATGCTAGAAGGGTCGACGAGTTACCGAACTTATACGTTTCGTTAGGGCGAAATACAGCTGAAAGACCGACACGAGATCTGGGAAGACAGGCACTGCGATTTGCCAAGCCGTTGGTGTTCTGTATTAGTGCTCGACGTTCTGCGTTATAAGGGATAGAGTATGTTGTGTAATTATCAAAGAATGAAAAGCTGAAGTCATGGCATGGTGAGAGCAGACTCTCGTCTGGCATACCCCATCCTTTGTCCTTGATAACTTGCTCAGAAATATCGGAACATGTGCTGCAGATCCCAAGAGATGAATATATAGGCCATGTGCAGTTACCAGTTCGGCAAGATAACGAGGGAGGTTGCGAAGGTTGTGAAGTCGATGTATTAACAAACCCAAGTACTGAAATGGTAGCCATCCCCATATCCGGATATATATAATAGGCATGCAAAAATTCCTCATTTGTTAGTGACATCGCATCCTCAAACCTCCAGCCACCAATGTCTAACCTCGTAGCCCTTGCGATGCTCGAGTTATTTTCCCCTGTGGTGTCTATTTGACCTTTGTATGTGATCAAAGATTGGATGCAAGGGTCCAAAGCTAGTAATAGTAACGTCACCCAGGCACCAAGAGAAGCCCAATATCTATAAATAAATATGAGTGTTAGCGTCCTACATAATCAACAGAAACTCCGGGTATTACTTACCGTGATTCGAGAATTAATAGCAATGATACACAACCAAGTGGGCCCCGGCTTGCGTCGTCAAAAGCAACAAACCGCGATAGAGAGCCCGACCGTTTCTTAAACCAGGTCCACTTTCCCTGTCCAAGACAGGAGCCGATAGCGAAAGCTAACGGGGTTCTCATAGTGATCGATAGGGCTGACACCACAGCGTTGAGTGAAATGGGGAACGACCAATCTACCAAGGGTTGGTTCTCCGCGCCTTTAAGGACCAGAACAAGCGAAATAAAAGCAGCTACTGCAACCAAGAGGCTAAATATCTCGAGGCCCCAGCCGCGGAAAGAACATTTCCTCTTATTTTCGTGCTTTTGTTGGCTAGAAGTAAGGCCATGAGAAGCTTCAAGTTCTTGATCTTCCTCTATAACGGGAGTTGCTGTGTGGTTGACCACAGGGTCATTACTCAGTCTTTCATAACTTAAAGAGTAACCCGGTATGTTGATATCAGCTTCTCCCGTGTGGCTACGATTGTTTTGCATCGTTAAGCCGTTAAGGGGTCTGTGCAGTGCCCCTATAGTAGCTATCTGGCTAACACAAAATAAAGAATTAAAAAAAAAGATTAAGGTAGTTCCTAGGTCTATAAACCAAGTAGAATGTTGAAATACTACCTACCTACTTAAAGACGATACCTACCCAACCTGGCCACAATATACTTGGATTTGCGGACTCGTCATCTCGTCGTACAATCTATCTAAAATTAGAGCAAAGCTGAAGCGCCACACCTGTACAACAACAAGTTATATAAATTAGGTGCCTAATGTACGATTCCGGTGGCTGGCTTGTGTCGTGTTACAATAGTATACTGGCATATTTCAACATAGGTATACAGTGTATAGATACGACATCCTACGACAGGCACCTGAAGTATCTAGATAAATCGAGTAGCGCATAAAATAATATAAGATTTTTATCTTTAAGTTAGGTACCTTCTAATATATTACTACGAGGTGGCGACACTTATATAAACAGTAATATAATTTAAGACAAGAAGCCTGTAAAAATAGTGCTTTTTACTTTAAGTGTTAACTGTTAGGGTATAAGTGGGTAAGGGGTATCAAAACGCTCGCAAGCTCACACGTGACATCTTTCCGAAGGGGCGCGACCTTATCAATTACTTACGTAATTAAAAAAAATCAAACTTAATATTCTTTCGGAAAGATTAATATTCCTTCGGAAAAGATAATCGGATAGATAACATTCTTTCGGAACAAATATCAAGTCTTTCGGAAAGATAAGGCCCTCGTAAAAGAGAGGTATACCTACTACCTCTTAGTCTACCTCTTGGTCTGCCTATCCTAAACACTCACTCTATGTACGACATCAATCACCGCAACGTCCCTTGAATTGACCTTCAAAAAGGTTATACCATACCCTCTTATCAAGTTATTATAATAGAAACTTTTATTAAGCTCGTATTATATCTCTTATGTGCTCAGTAATCAAATCATCAGTCCCTGCATTATTGAATCCACGAGCCAATAAGCACGGCATATGGACTTAAAATGCAACTTAATGATATGGTAAACCCGGACCCCATGTGGATTAGTAGAGTGAGCCGTTATCAGTAAACAAGGACATCCGACATTTCAATTAAATTGAATTGAAAATGAATATCTACACATTCTTCCCAATGCTTGACTCATTTTTGTACTACCACGTACAGCAGTAATGGCGCTGCTAACAAAAGAAAACATGGTTATACAGCAGCAAGAGTCAAAGGAACTCAATTCGTCCTTGACAGATACTCCGCAAAGTCTGAGAAATGGGGACGATGATCTTGAGGTTACCTTACATGGCACTAAAAGAGGTATCAAATCGCGTGTAAGTTTCTATTGTCCTCGTTCACTAGTTTTTGAGGCTTAGAGTGCCCCAGCCAGGCTGATTGAGAAGTCAATAACTAACTCGCATTATCACAGCATGCACAGATGCTTGTTATAGGCGGTACCATTGGTACTGGACTCTTCGTCGGGACGGGACAGGCATTGGCAGTCGCGGGACCTGCCTTTCTCTTCTCTGCATACTTAGTGATCTGTTTTCTCGTCTACGGCATCGTCACCGCCATTGTCGAAATTGGTACCTATCTGCCGGTGTCGGGAATGTCCGTAGCATACTACGGAAACCGGATTGTGTCACCCAGTCTTGGCTTCGCCTTAGGTTGGCTGTATTGGTATACCTGGGGCATAAGTGTCGCGTACGAGATCACAGCCGCTGCAGTAGTGATTAGCTATTGGCCAACCACCGTTCCAGTTGCCGTATGGATTACGATAATGCTGGCAGTAATTATTACACTGAACTTCTTTCCTGTCGGAGTCTACGCCGAGGTAGAGTTCTGGTGTGCGTCGATCAAAGTTTTCACCATCATTGGACTCTTGATTCTATCAGTGGTCTTATTCTTCGGTGGTGGACCAAACCATACTCGCTTGGGCTTTTGGTACTGGCAGGACCCTGGCGCGACTAATGAGTACCTCGTGGGAGGTGCCGGCGGCCGGTTCTGTGCGTTTTTGTTCGCCCTTATCTACTCGTGCTTCAGCTTCAACTTCAGTCCCGAGTTGATCATCATCACAGCAGGCGAGATGAAATCTCCTCGAAAGAACCTTCCAAAGGCCGCTATGCATTTCATATGGCGCTTAATCTTGTTTTATGCCCTTGGTGCGCTTGCTATCGGTGTCATATGTCGAAGTGACGAGCCGGCGTTAACCAGCGGTGGAAAGGGGGCAGCCGCATCCCCATGGGTTATCGCTATCAAGAACGCTGGAATCCATGCATTAGATAGTATTATCAATGCCGTGATCATAACATCAGCGTGGTCTAGCGGGAATTCGGTATTATACATGTCCAGCCGCTCCTTATACTCTCTTGCCATAGTCGGAAACGCACCAAAGATATTCAGCTATTGCAACAAGCACGGGGTACCAGTCTATGCGGTTATAGCTTCGAGCTTATTATCTTTATTGGCATACCTAAATGTAGGTATTGTTAGTGGCGTTGTGTTCAATTGGTTTGTAAGTATCATTAACACGGCGGCATTCATAAGCTGGGTTTGTTGCTGCCTCATTTATTTTCGCTTCAAAAAGGCGTGTGTCGCACAGGGCATATCTGGTTCTGATTTGCCCTATACAAGTGTCTTACAGCCATGGGCAGCGTGGATTGCTATTGTAGCATTCGGCATCTTTGGGCTGCTAAACGGATTTCAAGTATTCTTCCCGGGTCGATTCAGCGTATCAGGCTTTCTTACAGCATACATTGGGATTCCAGTATTCCTGTTGTTTTACCTGGGCCACAGAATCTCGGTTAGGAAAGACCCCTGGATTAGGACACCCGACTCGGTTGATCTAAAAACAGGATTAGCGGAGATATTAGCAGATGAAGAAGCCGATGCTACCATTGAAACGCCGGTTCCCTCTACAAAACATAATCAAAATCGGTGGTTAAGGAAGGTGGGCACAGCATGGGGATGGTACTAAAGTGACATTCACCTGCTCAAAAACAGTATAGACTTACTTCCGTAGTCACCAGCCTACGCCGAGGGCCGAAGCCGAAACCGAAGCCGGACGCGTATAAGAAATAAGAAATAAGAAATAAGAAAGAGAAGAACGCTAGAGATCAAGTTATCCCTAAAGTAGACTGTCTTTAGTCTTTAATGTATCCACACTTTTAATAGTAGCCTATCAGCGAGTAAATGAATAGTTAGAATTGAGTCTCCGACTATTCAATAACTACTTGGTAAATATTATATGCCTGCTGAGTAATTAAGGTAATTAATAAGCGTTAGTGAGTCTATAATACTCTTGGCAACTTGGTTATTGGTTATTTGAGACTTCATTACTATTAGGTAATGAATTTTGCTCATATTTAAGGTCCGACTACGATGACACAATTTCCTTCAATATTCCATAAAGCTTCTCTCCACTTCCTCATCATAATTATTATAATACCTATTCTCACGACATGGCTCACCAACCTACACCAACTAAACCACAAGAGGAAGAGCCTCGAGTTGAGATCATTGAACGCGAGGAAGATATCATCGCTGGATTTGACTGTGCCTGCAATGCGTTTGGCAACCAGGTTCGCGATGCTCTTTGGATAGCTATGAATCCCGGATGGGACACTCCCGAGGGTAGAGCCCGTGCCGCAGCAAAGTTGGTCGAGAAATGGCGCAATGTCACATACGACAACGAGGGAAATGCAAACACTATTTTTCTCAAGGCTACTATTTCCAATCAAGGACGACCAGTTGTGGCTGGGCTGGCAGTCTGGGATCAGTTATCAATAGTTGAAGGTCATGGCGAACGGCCGTCTGATGACCAACATATCTTATCAAATATTCAGTCACTTTATCCAGGTGACGAAGTCGAGCAGCGTTACCTTTTCCAGGTTATGCGTTCGTTTGTGAAGCGCCGTGTTGAGGTTGTCAAAGAAAAGGCAACATCACATCCACCGGCGGTGATGCATCTCCGCTCGTGCTCCGTCGATCCAGCTTACCAACGAAGGGGAATTGCACTAAAACTAGCCCAATGGGGTCTTGACGAAGCACGACGGCGTGGCGGTTTAGAAGCTGTTACCGAAGCATCGAGTAGTAAGTATTTTCGTATCCCATAACTTAAGTACCTTGACCTATATACAATACCCCATTTCGATTTAGACTCAATAACATATATGACTTCTCAAGCGTTAATAACTAACTCCTATTCAGTGGGAAGGCATGTCTACTCCCGTCTAGGCTTTCATGGCGAAGGGCCGGATATGGAGTACGAAGTTGATAGCGAATTCCTCTCACGAGACAGGCCACCCAACCTCTTTATGCGTACTGGAATCAGCCAATAGCCGTTGGATGCGTTCTAAATTCCGCCCTTGCCTCAACTGATATTTTAATTGCTGAAATAAGTGGGCTAAGGACTGCTGTCAGGTATTGTACAAGGTATACTGACGAGAACATGTATATAAACTAGGTTCCCCCTTCATTTATAAAGAAGCTTAGTTAGTTAATTAAGTTATCTATATTACTCATAATGTACTTTTCAGTAGTAATAATACAATACATTTCGTACACATGCACTTTAATATACTAAGAAAGCAGATCAGATATTCAAATAGGATCTTTGTCTGAAAAGGATAGGTGATCTGCTTCGAAAGAAAACAAAATTTAACATAATATAAATATATAAAAACATTAATTATATACGTGATTAATAGCATTGTTTGTTAAAAAACAAGAAACAATCGAGCTCGTATAGAACAATGTTCTGTTTGCTCTAAGGATAAAATAATCAGAAATTCTCTTTCAAAAAGTACAATAACTAAATTCACAGATCATTAGATCATCTTTAAATTTAGATACAACCCACCAACGTAAACTGTATTGTTTTATTTATTTTGATCGCTTCAACTTAACCTTTTCGTCCCAATGGATCCCTCAATTATAGAAGACAGGCTCGCAAGAGTCGAAGAACGTGCCAGGAACCTTGAGAAGATAATTCTTATCTCTACCGAAACCCAGGCAGCAATATGGAAGAATGTACCTGAGGAATTCGATAGATCTAGGGAATTAATATTAAAACTTTTGGAAAAAAGTCACGATGTGACAAACTCCAATCAAAACCAAAGCCTCACGCGCTACGTCGGGCCCCCTCAAAACTCCGATGAGACAGGTAGTTACGAAACCGAAAGTTTCATTAACACCTATCAGGATGTTGAAAGTTATAATGCCACTAGCTACAACATCGAAAACTTTGATGATGCTAGATATAAGGCAGAAATCGAAGATATTGAAGTCAAATATAAAGCAGATATTGAAAAGATTGAAGCCAAATATAAAGCGGAAATCGAAGACAATGAAGCCAGATATAAAGCAGACATCGAAGATATGAAGGCCGAGCTGCTTAAAACAGAGGAGATGAGGATCGAACTGCTTGAGAAGACGGAGAATTATAATAGAGTCCGGAAGCTACTTGATGAAGAAAGAAGAAAAAGCCGAGCCCTTGTTGGAACTCTTCGAGATATTCAAGGTAACATTAGGGTATTGTGTAGAATTCGACCCGCAGGAAAGGACACCCCAGAAGAAGACCTTGTAGACTTTGGTCCGCAAGAAAGCGGGGAGTTTTCCTCTCACTGGGGGAAAATGACCATCGCCACTACACGATCAAACTATATGGGAGATATAGTTCCGGACACACCGAAAGTCTATAATTTCGAGCGTATCTTTAGTACGTCGGACACAAACAAGGACGTCTTCGAACATATCAGCGACCTCGTTGAATCTTCAATGGAGGGTCAAAAGATCATAATGTTCGCTTACGGACAAACTGGTGCTGGAAAGACATTTACTCTTAGTCACAAAGGCCCAGACGCTAAGCATAACGGAGTGATTCCAAGATCCTTGGATTTACTGTTTAAGACCCAGCGAAAGCTAGCGGATGAATTCGAATTTACGATTTCGGTAAGCATCCAAGAAATCTACCAGAATAAGACTTTTGACCTCTTGGGAGCAGTTGAGGCGAGAAGGAGGGGATCCGAGGTCCGAGCCAACTCGGCTCGGAAGCAATCTTTGCATTCCCATGAAGAGTCTATGTCAGTGATAGATGCTGCGATGAACTACAGAGTAGTTTCAGCAACTGACATGAATGCTGCTAGCTCTCGTTCGCATCTGATTCTGACATTTGAGATTACAAGGGTGTCACGAGGAAATGCAAGGGAAGTTAGGTCTGGCTTTCTTAATATCGTCGACCTCGCCGGGAGTGAGAGGCCAAACGCAATGGGATCGACGAACGAAGTTCGTGAGCAAGGAATCCAAATCAATAGGTCTTTGATGAGCTTAACTAAGCTAATTAGTTGCATAGCGACTGGCGATCCCGTCGTCTATGATACAGAGCTCGTACGATCATTAAGACCTGCTCTCTCGCCCCAGACAAAAGTTGTCATGTTTGTTATGATCAGCCCCTTAAAGGAGGACCAGGAGGTCTCTTTCCAAACTCTCGAAAGGGGGCGGGAAGCTTCGGCCGCAAAGATGGCTTCGGCCGACCTTAGCGGGAATGCTAAGACACCGGGACCATCTACGAGGAATACCCAGCGTGGTGATTCCCCATCAAGGGGCACACTTTCATCAAGGGGTGGGCAAAGTTCAACATCGAGGGGCGGGCAAGGCCGCGGCCGGAGATAATCGGGAACAAATAGCCCGGGTTGATCTCAAGCCTCACGTATTCAAGACCTAGTGACTATTAATTAGTTTCATAGCCTTGCTAAAAGGCTACATTATGATAGGTAGTTATTTGCATACTAAATCAAGTATGCACCTTAAGTAAGTAGATAGCTAACATTAGGTATGTTATCACCAATGATCACTGATCATTCTAGGTATGATTTTATTTACGCTCGTTTCAGTTTTGAAATAGGCCAAACCTGGGAACTTAGGTAGCTTACACATTCTTAGTTAAGTATATATAATAACTCGGTTATTTCCTTCAACATATTAAATACATTTTCCTTGTCACTGAACTCCTTTGTTGTCTAACCCATTATAAATGATCCCATCCCTCCATTGTAAAACGTGTTACCGCTCGCAAGTACTCCGTAGCTACTATAAGCCAACCAACACGCCCAAGCCAGTCAAATATACCGGATATTATTGATTAGGCGAACGCCTCTGTGATCACACTAGAACAATCTGTTAGGCTGGCCTCGTCGTTACCGAGCAGGCTTAGCTTTTCCATCCTACACAAGAAATATTAACAACTATATTAACTCTAAATAGAAGAAAGGAAGGAAACTTACGCTGGCACAAAAGCGGCAGCCCATGCTGCGGCATCAGAACCAAAAGAATTCCAGTCAGAGCTTGTTTCTGTCGAATTGCTTAGGAATTTGTCGCTGTTCAAACTAGTAGGCGCGCTTCCTTCTGCGGTCTCAGTATAGAAGTTGGTATCCATCTCTTGTACCGTTGTGTCAAGCGCGTTTCCGTTCAGGTCCTTGGCAGCGCTATGAGCTCCAACCAAAGCGACCAACTCGGTAACTGAGAAGCCTTTTGCCGCGAACGCGGACACTATCGATGCAGCGTTGTCATTGGCGCCGGGCATCTGGCCTGTGGGATTTGCTTCGGATGAATCTACTCTGCCAACTTTCACCGATATCGCAGGTAGACCAGGGCAAGACGCTATTCCATATGCTATGGGTTGAATAAATATGTGAGCCAGGGGTAAGTAACAACGGAGGTATTGGGCAAAAGCTTACCTGCAGCAAACTGAATCATATCCGCAGTGCCAACACTGAATTGCGTTGCCTTATCACCTAATGTCGAACATATATCAACCATCTGGGTGTTTTCACCACGATCGGTGCATTCGTTCGCCAATATGATCGACCCATCACAGGCACCAGGAAAGCAATCATGGAACGCAAGTCGAATTGCCGCACGAGCATTATCGGTACACTTCCCGCCGCCGTCCAAGAAGGTTTCCTTTAAGTCTGTAGCAACGTCTGTCCATACAGCTGGGCATTGCGCTTGAGCAAACCCACTACTGGCTATAAGAGTTGCGAATAGTGCTTTGAGCCTGAAAGAATCCATATCGTTAAAGTTTTATAGGGGTAGATATGTACTATGGTTTAATAGTTTGGTAAAGACAATATAATTGCTGACAACGAGAGATATACGAAGGGAGATTCGAAGAAGGGGATAGATAGGAGGAGAAGCTGATGAGATACTGTTCATCTTGAAGAGATATCGATGATATTCTCCCCATACTTATATGTAAATATCCCAAGCAAAGTATGTCCCTAGTCAAAGCTGTGATACAACGACCTAGGAGTTGTTAAGATCGTATCAAAATGACCCTGCATACAAGTGGCTAGGCTCATGTCTCCTCGAGACCCTTCAAGGATATCTCCCCGGGAAGCATCCGCAAAGGGGAGCAAATTGCCCAGATCAAAATGGAGCCACGCAACAAGGGACAAGCCAAGACTTCAGACGATACACAGCTTATCCACTACGAAGCAATTTAGGTATTCTACTTCGTAGTCTCTTTTCCTTTAAGTTATATAAACCTTGGAGTTGAAAATATACAGTACAATACGCTCATTTTTCATAATGATAGTTGCTAGCCATAAGCCTAATCCGACTAACATATAACCGTCAATGAAGGCGTAGAGCAAGTAGAACTATCGAGCCGCGTGTTCCTGATTTCCGTGTATGTAAATGGTCAAACTTATCCCAGGGCCGATCATAGTCTTATCACTATCGTGAGAACGATCCACAAGGAGACATCTAAGCTGCAATAGGAAAAGCAATACAGCACCAAGAGATCTCATTGTATTGTGCAGCTTCCTGGCCAATTGCAGAAGTAGATACCTGCGCGCAATGGATATCTAAACGCTCTTACCAATACGACGTGCTTACGACGACAGAATAAAATGCTGCTGTCGGCGTTTCCTCAGAGCTGCGCTTAGACTCTCTACGTGGGGAAAGGGTTTCTAACCTCACACAAGGGTCCCTTAAGAGCCTCCAGCGCCATGATACCTCGCGGCTGGAGTCAACTGGAGTAGGCAGGGATCGTCAAAATTCCCCTAGCGCACAAAAGCAGGACGCGTGTTAATGAAACGAATTTTCGTCTGATCATTAAAGAGACGAGGAGACAATACATACATACATACATACGGACCGTCAGCAGTAGGGCTTGCGCTAAACCTCGCAGCCGCCCCCAATTCCGGTTGAAATTTTCTATGGTTTTGCTACGGCTCATTACGTACTTCCGGTGTACCTATCTATAGGTATATATAAACCGGGACAAAGAGAGTCTTACCCGGTACTCCATTCAAGAAGCTGCAAATAACCCCGACAGGTCGTATACGCACAGAAGAGAAATGCACGGCTCATCGTAAAGATCACATTTGATGGGGGAAATCTTAGCAGATACGAGAAATCTGATCTTAGTTGACGTGTTGTCTAATATCCTTAAGGTCAGAGTAGTCGTCATCATATTGTTTATCACTTAACCTCTACCGAACATAGCAATTCGATAAGCCATGAAAGGGGGTTTAGACTTTAGTTGCGCGAGTTATATCCTGGGTAGATTTTACAAATTTCGCCGAAAAGATATTTTACATATAATAGACTTGTTAAGGGAAAAATAGAATTAGAGTTGACGAACACTTTCTTAACTACCGTTGCTATTATAGGTAGAGTTAGCTATAACAATGTAACGCGAGATTAAGTTTAAAAGAGAGAAAGAAAAAAAGGGTAGCCAATCAAAAAACCATCCGATGTCTGAAGCCAAACAAAGCATAGAGAAGACTATGTCCATAATTAGGTACCGCAGGCTGCGGTCCGCAGCCCACATTCTCCCCACAGAGGCGGCACTGATTATTATCAGTTACGATTTGATTGCCCAATGCGAAGAGTTTCGGTCCCGACCCCTTGTGCCATGGCTCGTGCAGAAGTGGCAGCCCTAATTTCAGCTCTGGTCTCGACCAATCATTTCTTATCCGATCCATAAGTAGATCTCTTCATGCATCTGAATCGTTCGAGGTCGAGGGGTAAAATTGACCACTTCCCGCACAAAGGGCATGTTATTATCATATCGCGGCAGGCAACTAACAAGGCATTATTTTGTTCAAAACGCATAAATTCAAATAAATTCAAATAAATTCAAATAAATTCAAATAAATATATTAAACCTAGTAACTTGAAATACAATTTCACTCAACCCTTATAAAATAAATACCATTAATATTATAAAAATAACATCTTCTCAAGTCCCACTAAGAATTTTGAGGCTCGTATGTAAGTAGGTAGTTTGAGAAGTTATTTTATGTAACGTTAAAAAAGGGACCTCTCGTCCTTGGCGTGCAGTTGACAATTCAGGGGCAAGCCTATAGAATTGTTACGTACCTATATAAGTGGTACGCGTCACTGCAGAAATTAGTCAGGTACCACATATAGAGCCGCATATTAACAGCAGCCAATTGATTCCAATTCCTTTCACCTTTAATATCTTGTAATGTAGCATCTTTTTACATGTCATCCCGTTCGTTAAGTATAAATGGAAATTTAAGCTTTTATTTTTTACAGAGTCTTTAGGATATGAAAAAGTGTTTTTTTTTTTTTTTTTTTTTTTTTTTTTTTTTCCGCTCTTCGATATTAGAAGTCAACGGGGTATTTTATTTTGCGGGACTTAGCAACACAATCTTATTGATCAACAAACCGGACTCCAAAATAGTCGAATTAACCTATTACCTATTTTAGTTGCGGCTATTTGCACTCTTATTATTTCATATTTAACAGTGGTTTACCAAACAGACTACTACTACTATGATGAAGTACCTGTTTTCCGAGCCACTTCGTGCAATGACGCCAGTAGAGACATTTTCATCAATCTCAAAGTGCCTTCGCACCAGGTAAACAAAGTGTACTCCATACTAAACAAGTCCTTTGTTCTAGATAGATGTCTCGTCTGGAATCTCAATAGCTAGTTAAAGTCCAACAACGCTATTAGAAGATTTGCCGCGTGATCATGGAGACACGAGGAGCAAGGATTTTGTAGTCAAAGAGATGAGATACTTTTAATTAAGAAATCCCTCTAAACACATCATAGCGAAATGATATGATACCCAGCTTGTCATATATTTATTGTCAAAGCTAAACTGAGATTCTTGACAATTCGGAATCTCAAGTAGAAGTTAGTGATTAGTTATTTGAACTTGAGAAACATAGTCTTAATTTTAGTGTCCAACATAAAAGTTAAATATCAGGGTCACTTTTTTCAAATACGAGATAAACGCCTAAATGAGTTATCCAGAACGAAAGATCGAGTTTCAAGTCTATTGTGGAATAGCATAACTACCTTTTCCATGTCTCTTAACAACCTTAAGACAAGTTTGACTCGTTCGACTTTCTCAAGCGTACAATCTATAATATAGTTTACAGTTCTTCCCTTCACCCAAACTACCACCATGGATGTAAACCGCCCTTAGACCTTACTATAGGGTAAAAAACAATGTACTTACAAATGACTACCTGGTAGGGTACCTAGGTTAGTTATATCGAGCAAAACCAATTTCTTATGAACTCGACTAGTGAAAGGAAAGCTACGTATTTTATTTTATTCTTATGTGTTATCATGTGTCATGAAAAGACAAGTTTGTAATATAAGACTATTACCCACATCATCAAGTGAGGATAAAGTGATATGTAACTATTCGCAAGCTTGATCGAAGTTGCTTATATCATTCTTTTAGCAACGGCTATGAAACAGATGTTTAATTTTAATCAGTTCATCTCGGTGAAAATATACAGCAATAAACTCATATTAAATTAGTAGATGAATAGATACTTGTCTCTAGTTCGGAAGCAATATAAAAATGCATAAAAACAGCTACCAACTCCCTACCTTTATTTTTTTCAATCCCAAGGTTTGAATATGGCATTACAAGTAAGCAATTAAGCTCCGTCACTTGATGTCTTCGACAATATCAACTTACCAAGATTGCCGGGAAGACGTTCGCCGCTCCGTGGATATCACAAGACATCACGCTTGAAATACGCTATGCAGTGGTAATTATTCATTTATTCAGGCTTGGATAAACCCTACTCTATTCGCAAAGCAAGAACCATACGCATGGGCATGACAAAGCCTCTCCCGCGACGACCCATGCCGATGAATGCGACCTCGAACTCTGTGGGATATCCTTTCTCGGCCTCCGCCAAGTTCGCACGCCCCCCTCTATTCATACTTCATTCTCAACCGGCCAACCCCATCTAACGAATGGGTCATCGATTAAATGATGTTCTTTCTGAGAAGCGAGACGAGCGCGTTGGGGTTCGCGCCGACGAGCTTCTCAGCAGGCTCTATCTCGCCGTCCTTGAAGAGAAGGAAGGTGGGCATGGCGGTGACTCCAAGCTCCTGGGCTAGGTCGGGCAGATCGTCGACGTCGATCTTGGCGAAATGGATGTCTTTGAACTGCTCCTCGTTCGAGTGGCTATCGTTATACGTGGTTAGCAGCGCATTACCTTAGACATAAGAATTATAGGCGATAATGATATAGATAAGCTCTAATTGGGCGCGCGGCAACATAGCACTTCGCTTATGAGGGATTTCAGATGCGGAACTTACTTCACTAGGATGGGAGCAATGGCCTTGCAAGGACCGCACCAGGTGGCGAAGCAGTCGAGCAGGACGATCTTGTTGTTCTTGACGGCCTCCTTGAAGGAGTCGGCGCTTTGCGTAATGTTAGCATCAATACGGTCAACATATCAGAGACACAGAACGTATAATAGAGCGGGGTACATTGGGTCCAATGCAGCCACCTTTTTTTTTTTTTGTCTCGGGAAGGGCTTAAAACACATATGCGACTTACGTCTGGTAGTTGTGTACAGTCATTCTGGGCGACGTAGTATTAAACTGTCTGAAGGATGAAATATGCGATGGTCTGTAAAAAGATTGCCTAAAAGTAGACTGGGCTGTTCGGAATAAGTTTCTTGACATGGAGGGGAAAAATTGAATTGTACGTCGGAAAAAGACGCGGGGTGTTGGTGGGTTTTATATATCTGAGGTAGTTATTAGCTCTAAAGAATGGGAAGGAAGCAAGGCTGTGCCAAGAAAATGGAATTGTAAGCTTGTGTTTCGTATATGTGTAATTGACGCGTAGGTACCCTTAGAATTAGTTAGCTAATTCGGATCAATAATGCGTTGCCGAATAGATTTGAGTATTACAGTTCAAATAAGGCAAACAGGTAGGTTAGGTACTTACTTTCTAGCTGATGATGTAAACTTTGATTTGTCAGTTTTTCCTATGACGCGATTCTTATCTTTTTTAAGTGTGGCTCATAAGGTGTTTTAGGTTACGTTTTGTGGCGTTTAATCGTTATTCATAGGTGATTCAAAATATTTCCCCGACTACTGCTAATTTGATTCCATAAAATATTCCAAATCATATATCTCGTACATACCTAGTATTAGTAAAGGACTATATCTTGCTATGTCCGCGGCGTTTGAAATAACCACAAATACCTATGATCAGTTTTTAATAGCATTCGACACGTCACAATTTGAATATGACGTTTCTGCACGGTTAACCAAATTCCAAATTCCAAATCATCTCACTGCATACCCGTGATCTTTTGGGTTACACTAAAGAAAGTGCTGATGTGCGGGAACCAAGTGTTTGGATTTACAAGTTCTTGAATACCAGGGGTCTGCATGAATATGATGGCGATTATATAAGACTACCACATATCACAACTAATTTGGTCCTTTATGAAATTGATCGAAAACAAATTTTCTTCTCTAGCTCGCAAGTCTACAAGCATTATACTTCATACATGTACACAACGTGACCAACCTAAACTCCGACGTTACAGGCAAGGCAAGGGTATAAATGGCCCAAGTCGGCCTCGCAGATATTTCCAAACACCTCTAGTTTGATTCGAACATCTAATTTTTTCCCAATCCTGAACACCTGCTCCCTTGCCTGCTTGCCAACCTAAGTCCTCTTCACCCAGGCATATCTATCCGGAAACCGGAAAACGCATCGCGATCGGGTTAACTTGTAAAACTCCCAGTAGTCTCCCATACGAGCATGTGAGTTAACATCAATAATCTCATGAGAAGATTGTGGATTTGATGCGCTTGCCTAGCATGCACGAATCCTTAGCCCTGCCTAAAAGGTATCAATTCGAATAGACCGAAGTACAAGCTATCGAAATTTAGGTCGGTCAGTGTGTGAGAAGACATCTATGCATCACTGTGGGCATCTCTCTGGAAGCCTCATGAACCCCTGCGCTGCAGCAGAATATGAGTGGTATCAAAAACAGATAACAAAGCCACGCGAAAATAAAAACACATAACCCCTGTGGTATCGCAGTATATCAAGAATAGAAAATAAAAAAAAAACAAGCCGTATTTTACCCTTCCTCCACATGTTTCTGCAAATATGAAGCAAAGAAGTCCATAGAGACGCATGGCATATCGTGGGAGTGATATGCACATCGAAACGCTTAATGAGGGTAGCGTATTTCGCTGGGTAGTGAAGCTAGAACCGCATTGACGCTGGGAGTTTCCATTTTCTTGGTTGACCCTAAAAGGGTATAATATTCCGATCATTGAGCCAGGAGATAGACCGGATACTTTCTTTTTCTTTTTTTCAACTTTTTTTTCTGGTGTTTTATGCGTTGAAACATGAAAAGAAACGTTGTAATGAGCGAATAAGGTCGGTATCTGAGAGAGGAAGGAAATGTCAAATGAATGTGGTTGAGTTGGTAGTTGTTGGTCGTATGTAGACACAAGGGAAGGGAAAATGAATGTCAATCGTATCTCCTGGCTTAAATCATGCACCTGTTTCGTGTTGAAATATTTGGTGCCAAGTAGTGTCAAACCACTCGCTCCTAGTCAGTGTATAGCACTACTGAGTACCGCGGTCGATTAAACTCCGCCTGTTCTCACCAGATGCTCGAGGGGATATCTCTAGCAGTTTAGCGCTACCCGCACTGAAGTTCCGAGCGTGACCCTTATCAAGGTTAACGCTAGTTGCTCTCTGCGGTTGGACAGGACTTTGACCCTCTTCTTCATCGTCGCTGTATTTCTCGAGATCTTTCTCATCATCGTCAAAGGACTGAAGAAAGCCTTCTCTGCTTCGCATGGTATCTCTGTGGTGTACGGTAGGTGTTTGACCAACAGCACCCCACTTAGCTTCACGGTCTTCATCTTCCTCATCGCTGCTCGGACGAGCTTCGCCTGTAGACTTTTCATGTGAGTGAGTGGGGACGACGCTATTCATATACTCATCCTCGACAATATTTTCGTCGTCTGAAGCATGTTCCTCACATTCCGTAGAGAAAGCAGGTTGAGCGTACTGTTGAAGCGAATTTCTCATACCTGATGAGGCTCGCTTCCTATTAATGCGGCCCGAGAGCCAAGATGCCTCCGAATCGATAGAGGCGAGCGACATAGAATGTGGCGCCGGCGACGATTGGATTTCATCTCGCTGCCAGGAAATAGGAGTCGCCCGCATAACGTCGTGTGATCGACGGCCCGATGTTGGTGTATCATAGCGCATCTGCACGTCATCAGGGATTACGGGTAGGGGGTCCACAGGTAGAGGATCGGCATCAGGGGATGCCACTCGCGAGTCCGGAGGAGATATAGGCAACTCAGGGAGGTCCTCTCGGAAACGAGACATAGTCCTCTTGGGTACGCCTGAGCTGATTTTTCGCGGTACGAAATTATGATGTGTTGGCGGTGGGCCTGCTGACATGGAATCTCGCGAAGTGTTCGAAAAAGATGACGGGCCGGAGCTGCGCTTATTCTTACCCCATTTGAAGAATGACCTCCACGGTCTCGAGGAGCCGGCGTCGGAGACCCTGCTGCCAGACTCTGCATAGTCTAGCTTAGTTAGTGAAGGCGAGGGTTGTTCAACATCAGTCCTAGTTCGGGCGGAATCTTTGGGTGACCTCGAGCGCGATGTCCTTGTACGAATAAAACTTAAAATTTTCGGGCTCGAGGAGCGTGAAGATGGCTGCTGCTGCTGCTTTTGGGAAGACTCGGGCACTTGCTCGGATTCTGGAGCCTTGGCTGGAGTAGATGGCTCAAGGGGAATACTTTCCGTGCGATGAAACTCATCTAGAGGTTTTGGTGAATCTCCACGGGCTTCCAATTCCTCCTGCTGCCTGCTGTGTCTCCGTGGCGAGTCGTCCGAGCGCCTCCTTCTCGATGATGTAATAACTACTGAAGCCGGATCTTCGCCAGCTATTTCACGGCCCAGAACACCTCTCTCCAGATTCTGGGGTGGTGGAGTACCGCTCTTAACAGCCTCGGCTTCTTCTGCTCGCTGCTTCTCTGCTCTCCTAGCGAGACGCCTCTCTATTCTTTCACGTTCCTTCTCTTTCTTCCTTTCTCTCCTCCGCCTATCTCGCTCCATCAATTCTCGTAAATCTGATGCATCTAAGTCGTCCGCCAGATTGTCGATCCTCTTATGAGCTCGGAGTGTAGCTTCAGGGATTGGGCTCCTTTCTGCGAGCTTCCGCTTTGTGGACTGGGATCGGGTTAACGCACTGCTGGCTGCTGGTCCATAAACAGGATTGGCAGCACATCGTAGTGTCGGGCGAGGTGCAAGAGACTCGAAGACAGAGACTTTCCATGAGAGTTGTTCCGAGTCCGTCGACATGGTCGAATGAATAGAGCGAGGCATAGGCAATGAAATATCGGAGGAAGGTTCATCCCAGTTCCTACTCGAACCCGGTCTTGTCCGTCTGCTTTCCCTTTTCATTAAGCGGCCAGCTGGCCATGCGTCTGCGGCAGGGCGTACTGGCATAAACTGGCTCATGGCCTTGATTTCAGCCTCCCGGCTATGGTCCTCTTTCCGGCGCTTACTGGACTTTTTTCGTGGTAAAGGCTGGCCCCGTCGTTTGTTTCGTGAGTTCTCATGATGCAGAGTCGGCACTCGAGTCGCGAGATCGTCATTGGATCCCGATGGCAGTCCGTGACCCCTATATGCCTCATCTGCGACGGTCGGTATAGAGTCAGCAGGTAACGATGCAACCGGTCCCTTTTTCGTCTTGGAAACGCGTATAGAGTCTCGACGCCCGGGAGAGAAGCTATAAGTACGTTGACGCCGTTGCAACTTGTGAGGACCATCTCGCTTTCCTCTTAGTGACTCATTGCCTATTGTAGTATCGATGGGTTCGGTCTGACTTCGCGATGGTGGTTGCGCTTGACGACCACGCTCTAAAGTGTCGGCATCGGAACCGAGGGCCGGCGTTCGAGATCGCTTGCGCGAGCCCCTGCGACGGAAAGGCCACATGGCCATATTTCCGAAGGTTGATGGTCGCTGGTCGGCCTTGGTTATAGGAAATATTAGCGAGGCTATATCGCAATGCGCGATGGTGGGTTCCTGTCGACGATGCTGGGTGACGGTCGCCGCAGACTGATTATCGCCATGGGCGCGGATTAACTCGAATTATGCATATAATCAGTAAAGTATTGAACTGAATGCCACCGGCCGATTCGGTTCGCCGAGATCTATCGCAAACTAATTCGTGTAGTTGTTAACTGCGTCTTGCTCGAATTGATAGGACCTCCAAAACGCCGTCGCACCGCAGCAACCGAGGACGTTATTACACGCAGATTATATTGATGTCTCTCCTTTTACTTTGATCGCTTTAGTCAGACTAAGAGACCAATTAGCGATGACTGAAAAAATGGAAGTTGTGGATATTGTGGTCGACGCGAACTGCTTCAATGCGTTTCCAGCGCAGGCATGAGGACGGAGCTCGTTCGTGTTGGAATGTTGCAAGTTTTGGATTGGGCTCCAGATTTGGTGGTGGTGGTGATAGGTAGTGGTTCGAGGTGGTTCAGTTTTTTTGGGGAGAGAAGTTTAGAGGGAACCGATAGAGGGACTGTGGCGGTCGGCAGTGGGGAGATATGGAACACTTACAAGGAACTTGACATAAGGGAAAAGAAAAAAATCAGAAACGGGGGTAGCGTCGTTGGCAACTACTATTTTCAGTCAGTGCGTGTGGCAGGGACAACAGGAACAACAGGGAAAGGGCGATTAAATGGACTTTGCGAAATGAAGTCACACACAGGGGGGGGAACCCTTGGGTTAGCAGGCTGGATGTTAACGGGCTGACGGGTACGCGGGTACTGTAGACAATCACCTTTTAGTGGAGTAATTGAGAGTTATTGTACATATCGAATTCGGTTGTGTTACGTAGCATATAAGTAATGAGTACCTCGTAATATCTAGCGATTCGTAGGAATTTAATCATTTATTCGAGTAACTAGTTACTTTTTGCATACCTATTGGACGCATTCTTCCTAGCCACTTACCTGTACCTACATCATGTATGTAACATCCGAATCGCTACAACCCTGGCCAAACTTGGTCCTATTAGGGGCCACGCATTTGACAGGGTGCGGGTTGATGAAAAAAGAATTTGGGTACGAAGTATGGTACATGGTTTATATGAAGGTACATAGGGCATGTAAGCATGTATGTATGTATCCAATAGGCATCTAATGAGCATCCAATGAGGTTACTACCTGTTAATGGCAAACTCTCAATACACCCAACTTTTCTACATAGGGATAGGATACGAGATAGACCCGGCCCTCGAAAATCCTTCAAATTACTAGAGAGTCTAAGTCTCTGTTTAAGACTTACAGGACCACCATATGTTATGTATCAGAAGTGAGTTTAGTAAACGACGAATCTTATTGATACATTTGGTACTGTAAGAATGCAGGCACTTACATAAGGTTCGAGAACTAAAGCTACATGTAGTGGAGATGGTTTGGAAACGGCCTCCTAATATGAGTCGCGGCCAATGAAAATAGGTTATCGACAAACTATCTACCTACAATAATATTGCTCACTATATGTATGTACATGCTTTTTACATAGGTCTAGCTACCTAAGGTACTGTCCACTTACACGCATACTATGTACCTAACATAACCCTAGCGATAGGTATACATATTAGACGAAGATTACATGTAGGTAGTCATTTGATGTGAAGACTCTGGGCTAACCCATCGATAGCGATCTTTAGCAACCATCAATGATAACATGGCGTTGCATAGCGTGGCGGCACTTGAAAGCGAAAGCCGGGCCTGGTACAGCTAAGCTTTAATCGGTGATGTCAGGTACAAGGAAAACGGCAAGGTACGACATATGACCACTCCAAACTTTCATTCACTACCTGGTATAGTTATGTCTTCATGTAATCAGAAGTCTAAGTCGACCCATTATCATAACTTGGAACTTAATAAACTTGAAATATGTCATCATACAATTCTCTAACCTACAGATGATTTCTGTTTCCATAATCCGATCCTTTACTCGACGATCCCGAAAGCACGCACTATGAAAAGTTTCACGTCCGAGCTTTACTAGGTAGAAACAGCAGCCCCAAATATATAGCGTTAACGGATCGTTTGGCGGCACGGCTTGCCGCTTGACCCATGCTACTATGCCGACTCGTGGTAATCGGACGCGGGTTGCGTAGGCTGCGTGGGAACATCCATAATGAAAGTTCGATCGGACGCAATAGATAAACCTTTTCTTAATAGAAATTGTAGCAATATCTTTTTTTTTTTTTTTTTCAATCCATCCTTCATCGTCTTGAGGTAGGTATTAACCATGTCGAAACGATTTCGTAGAGTGCTTACACAACTACAATTACAGGCACAGACACACAGAAGGATTATAATAGAATACTTGCCTCTTTTTAATGACCATGGCTATGCCAAGCTAAATCCCCTATGTATTTTTGTTACGCGCATGCTAGCGAGCGCCAGATATCCACCGTTGTCGACCAGCGCTGTAACCGAGGCGGGCTGCCCCATACCGTACAGTAGCAGATGTTACCAGTAGAAAATTCGGCGGTGGAATACCTAAAACCCGGAGAGGTCTCGTATTCATGACCTTGCCAAGGAGGATTTGGACGCTGTCACGCTTTTTGCAACAGAAACTATTGCTACTTGCAGCCAATATTGAATTTTTAGTTTCCTTTAAGCATTACGAACACTACCTAGAAATCTCCTTATTGAGGAGAATGAGTAGACCTTGGTAGGTAATGTAGTTTAACTACCTAGCCTTCTGTTTTGTGAATATAGTACGGCTCGTACATCGCAATAGGGCATAGCTTCGGGTAGTAAACTCACGAATGGAAATGATAGGCGCTTCGTTCCTGTAAAAGGATAGCTGTAGGGCATTCTACCTTGTCTCCCTTGGTTTATACGTCACCGCAACTCATCCTTGAAGATGCCGAGAGTTTCACGCTTAAGTGTCTTGTCCAACCCGCACATATGTAAAAAGACGCAAAATGCAAGTAGATATTGGCGATAGCCTGTTCGGCTCTCATTGGAAATCTGGATCTATGGTACTTGCATATGCGGGGGCGGCGGTGGTAACTCAAGACATAGTAGTTATGCCTCTCAAGACTGACACGTAGAAGGTTGTGTGCTTAACACACGCATCTCCCCTGGGTCCTTATGCAAGAGCACCGTTCCTGAGAAGCTTAATGGTCGATCGGTCCCAAACGTGCATCCAGATAAGAACACCTCTGGATTCTTTTGCCATATCGCTCTAACCAGAGCAGCAAATCTAGTTGAGGTAGTTTACTACCGTCTCCGTTCTGGGTGAGAAATATATTGGATGATTGGACGCTTGACTTTGATAAGGTTCTACATCGCGAGCCGCCGTTCCTCTCCTCTCCTGTGGATCTCTAGAAAATCTAGGAGGATGAAAAGCGCAGTTGTCGTACAACTACTTTCATTGGATGTAAACGTCTCTTCTCCGCAGCCCTGATGATCTGGAAATAAGCGATCCGAGTATAGGAATGCTCACATGCATATAATAGGATCTAGGATTGAAAAATTCTGATTGGATGTTTACTTAAATTGTCTGTTATAGTGAAGCTTCTGGCGATCTAAGGACTGGACTGGACTGACTTACTGCCTGCTGTTATTCAACAAAGATTCCTGATTGTGGCTGTACCCTGAGTTATTGGAGTCGAGTCTATTACCGGACGGTTGGGTTGAATAGCTAAAAATGAGGCTTATTGAAGAGGTTTCAATTCTATTCTCATCTGCTATGGACTACTAGCAAATCGAACTAAGTATTCAGTAGTGGCCAAGAACTATACCAATGTTTCTGAAGATATTTGACCTTAGTAGGTAGCCTATCATAGAAGTTTGCATGCGTCGGACATTATTTTAAGGGCGGTACATAGTGGCTTAAGCCACTCAGCCCACATAGTAGCTGAGATTTCAGGTAGCCAACTCGTGGGGCTTTGTTGCTTTAAGATGAAAGAAATAAGAAATGATGAATTCATGGAAATGCGAGAAGAAATGCTCTATTACGAATTACATATTTGTACTACATGTAGGGTAGGTACCTACACACTCAGGTACCTCTTACCTGTCTAGGTGCGATTGAAGTATGAATATATTACCTAAGATATAGTAAAAGTGCTTAACCAATCAGTAAGGATGACATAATCAATTGTTTACACCCACATAGCAACCGTATCAAAACATATCTCTAAAGCCTTTTCCACTCTATCACCTAGCTCGACATTTTAACGATTCGGAACAATTTCAAAAAAAAAAAAAAAAAATAGTACTATCTGATATTATAGAACATACGAATTCTATAACCCCCTCGAAGATTACAACTATCAAATAGCGTGACTATGGCGTATAACTCGCGAATGTCGATAATACCGCCGACGCAAAACCAGTCGCGCACGCGAAAGAAGGAGGAGGAAGCTGACGCCTTTATGCGGTTGCCGGACAGAGAGATCGTCGGTTGTATAACAGACATCGGGATCCCTTTTACCGTTGCCGACCTGCAGAAGCCGAATCCATTACAAGTACAAATGATCTTCGAGTGGTTCGCCGAATTGCTTTTGAATGCGACTCGTGATACTGTCGAGCCAGCGATGCGCGCTGCAGCTGAGGATATATGCGGCGAATTCACCGATATCGTGCCTCCCGATACTCGCAACTTACTAGGCTTCTACGTGTCGCTGCGCAAACTACTTCTCGAGTGCGGTATTACCGACTTCAGTTTTAGCGATCTATATAAACCCACACATCCCCGACTCGTCAAGATCTTCAGTTACTTGATAAACTTCGTTCGGTTCCGCGAAAGTCAGACCAATGTCATTGACGAGCATTTCAATAAGGCCGAACAGACCAAGACGCGGATCGAGACGCTATATGGCGAGAACCAAGACTTGGAAGCCAGATTAGAAGAGATGCGACATAACCGGAAGGCGATGGAAGCCCAAGTTCGCGAAAAGACGGAACGTAATGAGGAGCTAAAGAAGACTCTGTTGGAACTACGACGGAACCAAGAGAAGGTCGCAGTTCGGCTAGAAGAGGCGAAGGCAAAGAAGGGAGAGTTGGCACAACGGCTCGAACAGAAAACAACCGAGAAGATGCTGCTTAAGCAGGAGAGCGCCAAGCTACGACCATACACACTACAAAGTCCCCAAGCGTTGCAAACAAGTTTAGCGGAGCTCAGCAATACTCTCAACACAGATAAAGCCCATATAGACTCTCTAGATCGACGAGCAAGAGCATTGCAGACGTCGACGGATTCCTTCGGTGTTGTGGCGACGGATGTTGCATCCTGTATTAAACTTCTCGATGAGATCTCAACAGAACTAGCCAAGGAGGAAGAGGAAAATGCTAGAAACGCGAAGCAACGAGATGCGTTATCAGAACGTGGCAACAACGTTAAAGAAGTGGAGAGAACAGAGGCATTGCTACAGAGGCAGTTAAGCAAGTGGAACGAGCGTACAGAAAAACTCCGCGACCATAGTCGAGAGAAAGCCCAGGAAGCCAAGGAGAAGATGGAAGAGCTCCGAGCATTACACAAGAAGTTGACAGAGGAGCGCGCAACGAAGGGCACAGAGATCGAGCGAAGGAGGGTCCGAATTGAGCAAACTGAGAAGAAGGTACGTATACTCAGATTATTCCCCTCGACTACCCTATACTTGGTACTAACGATGAGATAGATGCTGGATCTCAAGGAGAACATCGAGAGAGAGGTTCACAGCGCATATGATGAGTATCTGAAGATGGAGTCACACATCAAGCTGTACATCACGGAGATGGAGCAGGCCGTCTCCATCTGACCATTGTCTCTCACCTTTTTAACGATAACGAGACCATGAAAGGATGATACCACGGTAGGCGTTAAGGTGTTGCATACCGACCAGGGCCGGAAAAGTGCACATAGGGCTTACTACTATTGTAACTAGTGTTTTAGGCATCTGAAGAGATACCATATTATTTATAAAGTTCGCCATGTTTTATTGGCGTCTACTTGTCTTCATTCAAGTTTATATCCCATTCCCCAAGTTGGAAATCAAACCATCTCTTCATGACTCTTCCGACTTCTACAGTCCGACCAGTCCAACCGCCAGCCTCCGCGTCGGGACCTAGTTTCCGCCCACCGCCACTTAAAAAGGGAACATTTTCTCTTAGTGATTCCTCAAATAGAGATGCAGAGCTATGCTTCCGGGGCTCGATAACGATCGTCTGCCACGATAACCGGTGACCTAGCTCTACTAGCGTGGATGCAGAGTTGCCGAGACCTTGGGCGCTCCACTCACTCGTATCGCGATGCACTTGTAGGAATCCGTATAGTATTATACACGGTGTGCATTTCCCTAAAGAGTTGAAGCCGGGGGGCGGAATTGGGACTTCAGAGTCATCTGGTGAGAAGACAGACAAGTATGCGCGGAGATGCGTAACTGTGGGGATGTAGACGACACGGATGTACCGCGATGTGGCTATTTGGTATAGCGGAGAGGAGAGAAGCCGGTGTTGTTGCCTGGCCTGTTCTTGTTTGACATCTTGGATCTTTGGCGCAGCAGCAGATGCTGAAGTTTCTACTGGATGTTTATCAGAAGCTACCTCGTCCGGATGAGCTGTCCCTTGAAGCACATCGTCCGAAAGAGACGCAAGGAATTCTAAGCGGGAAGAACATATAACCAGAGTAGTTGGATGGACGTGATGAGTTAAGATATAAGTTAGAAGTTCAGAAGGTAGTGCCGGGGAGAGGAATAGAAAGGGTGCCGAAGACATGAATATTTGGACTTTATAAAGGCCATTACAAGAATCTCAATGATGAATATTCAAATTACATAAATGGTACATATACTAGGTTCGATTACCATGTCCGTATAAGTAAATGATATAAGTAAATGAAACCGCTTCCCAGAAAAGGTTTATAAGTGCGTTGCACCTACCACCTGTAACTAACTTAATATAGAACTAAGTTTGAAGATAGCCCCATAAAAGGTCACCGGGGAAAAGCCCCGCCAAAAGTTCAACATCGCTGTAATTGAACCCAGCAACTCTTCCACCGACGTCACACACCTAAGAACACACAACTAACGCAACAGCTTACGAGCTGTCTGCGCATCTTCACCTACGCTATGGAGTCTATCTCTCGAATATCTAATTTGCTTGAGAGCGGTGAGAATCCCCATATTCAATTCTAAGGATAGCTTGACATAGCTTGACCGAGGTGGACTAACCTTCCCTTCTATAGCTCGAGAGCTCACCCTCGATGCGGCCCAAGCTGCCCGTAGCTCTCGTAGCACTACACGATCTCTACCGACGGCGCAACTAAAGAAGCTTCTCGACAGCCGAAATGACCGTGAAGTTCTTGATGGACTGCGACGTGTTATTTCTGTACGCATGCTCTGTTCCCCTTGCCGACTACTAGAACACGCCGACTGATCGATCCTACTTAACTAGATGATGTACCGCCAGCAGAAAACTCTCCCATTCTTTTCTTCCATCGTCAAGAATGTAGCGTCACCGAACCTCGAAATCAAAAAACTTGTATACATATACCTTATACACCATGCCGAACAAGAACCAGATATGGCCCTCTTGTCTATTAATACAATCCAAAAGTCTCTATCAGACTCTAATCCCCAAGTACGAGCACTCGCCTTAAGAACCATGTCCGGCATTCGAGTCCCTGTTATCAGTCAGATTGTATCATTAGCTATCAAAAAGGGGACAGTAGATATGTCCCCTCACGTGCGCAAGGCTGCCGCTCTCGCCATACCGAAATGTTACCGTCTAGAACCGAGCACCCTACCCCAGCTACTAGAATACCTGACAACGCTCCTAGGCGACAAGCAGTACTTTGTCGCCGGTGCTGCGGTCAGTGCTTACATGGAAATATGTCCCGACAGGGTTGACTTAATCCACAAGCACTACAGGAGTCTCGTTAAAAAGATTGTAGATATGGACGAGTGGAGTCAGCTGGCAGTGCTAAGAATGATGTCTATATACGCACGGAAGTGCTTCCCAAGGCGGACAAAGACTGCCAGATCAAAAGACAAATCAGCCGATCTGCAAGACTTCTACGGGGAGGGTGAATCGGAACCTACCTCGGAAGGGGAACGGGTAGTCATTCTCGATCCGGATCTTGTCCTATTACTTAATGGAATAAAACCACTTCTACAAAGTAGGAACTCAGGTGTGGTGGTAGCTGTGGCTCGTTGTTATGCGGACCTAGGTACACCCGAATACACCAAAGCCTCCGTCGGTCCATTAGTCGCTCTTTTAAGGGGAGCACAGGACATTCAACAAGTCGCTCTATACAACATAGTATCTGTCTGTCTTACTCACCCGGACTCATTCGTTAAATACGCCTCTCATTTTCTCGTTCGCGCTACCGACACAGCTCCAGTGTGGGAGCTGAAGCTCGAGGTACTCGCACTAATATTTCCCCATAGCCCCTTACAAACGAAAAGCCTCATCCTTAATGAACTCGAACACTTCTCTCGCGGGACAAATAAGTCGCTTGTTCGCGAAGCAGTGCGAGCTATTGGTCGATGCGCGCAAGCAGATCCGGCGACTGCACCCCGATGTATGCGACTACTGCTGGGGCAAATAACGAGTCTTGACGGCACATTGGCTGCCGAGTCCCTCACGGTAATCCGTCACCTTATCCAACAAGAACCTCAAGCACATATGGGAACCGTTGTGCGCCTGGCGAAGAATCTCGATTCCGCGACCGACCCGCAAGCTCGCGCAACTATCATCTGGCTCGTGGGTGAATTTGCTGGTCTAAACGGCGAGGACAATATCGCGGCTGACGTGCTGAGAATACTTCTCAAAGCATTTGCGGAAGAATCCGAGATCGCTAAGCGGCAGATCGTCCTACTCGCAGCGAAAGTCTACCTACATCATCTCAACCGGACAACGGAAGCGCAAAAGTCGGATCAGGAGAACAACGACCCCCCACCCAACTCAGAGGATCATCCTATAGCCCGATTATGGAATTATGTCCTCCTGCTTGTCCGTTACGATACGTCGTACGATTTGCGCGACCGCACGCGCTTATATAAAGCGTTGCTGAGCGTGCCTCAATTAGCGACGCTAATGCTACTTGCGCCGAAACCCGCACCTCAAGCGCCAAGTCCGTCAGAGACACGGAAAGGGTTCTTACTAGGATCTTCAGCATTAGTGCTTGCCGGAGGTGGAGGCGTGCACGGCCTACGAGGATACGAGCCCCTGCCAGACTGGGTTGAAGAGGGCAGGGAGCCGGATCCGAAGCTTCGGGCTCAGGATGGCGTCCCGAACGAATATAGTGAAGAGAAGAGGGCTATCCCCGCGGCGCGGATGCTTGGGGACTCTTCAATAGGAGCGCAAGCAGGTAGAAGCAATGGGCTCTCCACGTCAGCAGGGACAGGGGCCAAGACTTTAGATGATTGGCTTGCCGAGGACGAGGAAGAGGAGGCGGAAGATGAAGGCGAGGAAGACGCCGAGGAGGAAGATGAGAGCGAAGAAGAAGAGGAATCGGAGGAGGAATCTGAAGAAGAAGAGGAAGAAGAAGCGACCGATGAGGAATTAGACAATTCCAAAGCTGAGTTAGAAGGGTTCCTTAATAGGTAACATCGAACTTGCTTACTTCTTTGCATATCAAATAGAGCTATACAAATAGAAATGCATAGACACCAAGGACATTAGGACTGGCTAGATAGAACCAGGCGTTGCTAGATCTCTTTTTTGGCTATCTGCCTAGAGAGAATAATAGAAAGATTGCCCATATATTCGTTTATCATTCAAAGGATCATTCTGCGTAATTTTCCTGGCACTTTTCAATTTCGAGACTTGCTGTCTCATTCGTGATAGAAAGTAGTACTTTGGATAGCTAGTCAATGTATAAATGTCATATGTATAGAATATTAAGGGGGTATGCAAAACCGTGGATATCTAAGAGAATTAGGTAGAGGTGTCTATATCATCGCACACGCTATATATATGCAAAAGGTAAACGAACCAGGCAGCAAAATAAAAGAGGCCGCTAGTCGTACATCTAATTCCCAACTAAAAGGAGAACAGCAATAGATAATAAAAACGAAGAAACATTGATATCTTATACGCTAAGAGTCTTCTGCTCCGTCTGGTGTCCCTCATCGCCCGACGTGATGGGCTCCTCTCCAGCTACCTTCTCCCCCTTGGACCCTTTCTTGAAGCGCTGGGCTTCCCGCTCGGCCATTGCCGGGAACAGAAAGCCTGGCGGGAAGGCGGTTAGGAGGACGACGGGGATGATGATGCAGCTGTTGTTGTGTTGTTAGTAGACGTCTCTTGGGAGAACATGGAGAGAAAGTTTAAAGAAAAGTAGGATTGGAAGGGGAAAAGGGGGGAGGGAGGTAAGGTAGGTAAGTAAATAGATAGATAGAGATAGATAACACTTACAATCCCTCAAGCACAATAAACGACGGCTCATCCTGCATGATCTTGTTTCCCCATCCTCCGGCCATCTCGGCAATTCGGTAGATACACCGTATCAGAATCCCCGCGTACGCACCGGCCACCGCATAGCAGAACATGCGGAACTTCCTATCGTTCCACATGGCCAGGGCCTGAGGCGTGGCGTGGCCGGCGACGACCCACTTCTTGGTGCGGAGGTAGTAATCGACGCACAGGACGCCGAAGCCGCCCAGGACGGCGGACTGCAGGGCGATGCCGGCGATGATGACGCGGTCGCCGGAGAGCAGCAGCTGCGGGTTGTCGTAGCCGGCGGAGGCGGCGAGGCTGCCGCCGATGGCTTGCAGGATCAGGCAGGACACGTCGGCGGGCACGAAGATCAGCGGGTACAGCCGCGGGCGCAGGCGCGAGAGCTCCGGGTTGATGGACAGCGTGACGTGCTTGAGCGTCAGGTAGATGGAGATGCAGATTAGCGTCGGCGCGAGGATGATGGCGCAGATTTGCGTCTGGAAGGCGCCGGAGTCCCAGGGGTTGTTGTGGAGGAGGACGCGCGCGATGTAGCCTGGGGTTTGGGGTGTTAGCATGGGTATATATTATATTATATATTTATTTATTTATATGAGAGACTGGGTGGGTTGCTCAACGGCTTCTTATGCTGCGTCGAAGAAAAACAAGCAAGCAAGCAAGCTCATAGAGCAAGGACAAGACGAAACATACCTGCAAACTCAAGAACACATCCCGCGGTAAGGGCAGCGGAATAACCCCAAGTCCTCTTCCAAACACCGGTGACGACGAGGCCTATGATGCATATACCGAACGCGGCGGCGAGAAAGGCATTGACGCCGAGGTTGGGATAGTATCCCAGAACCGTAGCCTGGACCGGGCAGTAAGGGCCGACTTCAGTGCAAGATCTAAACGATACGCGATGCGGCGCATCCGTAGTATTCGACATCTTGTAAGTCGAGCTGGACAAGCCGTAGGATAACTCGATATGAATTAACTCTTTTATTTTTTCTTCTCTTCTTTTCTCCTCTCCTCTCTTCTCTTTCTAACTATATAAATCCTTGATAGCAACAGCAACAACTCCTACCCAACGTCCAAGCTGTTGTTGAGTTTGACTTATTTCGATTTTGTTGAATGGCTACCTAGCTAGATCTCGGAAGGGCAAGCGCTTGGATAATCCAAATCGCCGGAACGTATGGCCAGCAGGTAAGCTATAAATAAATAAAACGAAGCGAAACGAAACGAAACGAAACGGTAGTTTTTAGCGAGAGACGCTATAGCTTAAGAGTACTATAGGATAGGGATACCGAAATTCGAAGTATGTATGTATATGTATATGTATATCCAGGGAAACAAGAGATCAGCCCGAACCCAGCAGCGCGGCACTACAGATATATAAAAGGGAAAAGAAAAAACGGGTCGTGGGAGCCTCGTGGGAATATTACATATCCCAGACGATCTATCTCGCGCCATGGGCACGGCAAATCTGATTTAACGCGGGCATCATCGGGGAGGAGGCGAGGTTTAGGTTACTGTAAGCGGGAAACAAAGGGTGTGTGGATTTTATTCACAGCTTGGCAAGCCGCCGACCGAGAAAAAAAAAACAACAATAAAAAACAGCGAATACGCAAGATAGCGTGAGGATCTGGTGCGGGATCTTGATCGGATAGGTAATATACCCAACGAGAAGGTTACTAAAAGCGGAAAAACGACAAGAGATACATACCTAGGTGCCCCGGTGTCCCCCCAGCAGGGTTTACTGGGTACGTTTAAGCGATCTGACCAAGAACCCTCCTCCCCTCCCCCCCATGTGGGCTTCTAGAACGCCGATGCCCAGAGCTCGGTTGCGCTGCCGAGCTGACGAAACGACATTTTGCCCAGCTCCGAGGCCAAGGCCAAGGCCTGTGCTGCTGCGCTGTCATGTACCATACACACACCTACACTGTCGAATAGAACTTCTACACTTACAAAGATAACTAGATGTACCACCTACTTCTCTAGGTATATTCGCTCTAAAGTATAAGTGTGATCGAGCAGAGTCAGGTAAATAAGTATCGTCATCATTAAGTCACCACTACTTACATAAAGAGAGCTACCTATGGAATTAGATTAGAAAGGGGTCCGATGGGCCCCTCCCCAATCTTTGGGCGGAAGAGACCTCATCCGGGACGCTACGGCGTTAGTTCGATTCTCCGGGCGCCACCCGGGTCATTGCACCGGGACGTACCTTAATCTATCATACTACAAGAAAATATAGACCTGGTCTCATGGATATATTTGATAAGCGATTAATAACCGATCTAATAACTACAGGGAAGGTATATTAATGCATTCACTTTATCGAATTGGATCGGATCGGATCAGATTAGATTAGATGGTATGTTCAAATTAGATCTTATTCCTTGCCGCCTAAGAATCTATATATGACGGAGAAGTCTCTGCCTTTACACGTTTCTACTTGCTCAGCCTCTTCGTAGACTTGTCTCGCCCGATCGCCAAGTTCTAACTTTGCGTTGGCTTCGTTTGCAGCTACAATGGCAAGCTTCAGATCCTTCTTCATTAGACTAATGCCAAACCCGCCAGAATAGTCACGGCTAGCTGGTGCGCCTTCAACAACTCCTTTTACCGGATTATTGACTTCGCTTGGCCAGCATTTGCCAGTGCTAACATTGATGATATTAGCTAATGTCTTAGGATCGAGACCCCATCTGATGCCTAGGTTCATCGCTTCTGCTGTTGCGATATTGTTGATGGCAAGCAAATAATTATTGGCTAATTTGGCGCTAAGTCCATTGCCTTGCACGCCACAGTGCAATACTCGTTTTCCCATCCGTAGTAATATCGGTTCTAGCTTTGGTACTAGAGCATCCGGGGCACCCAACATGAAAGTTAGAGTGCCTGCAGCAGCGCCTACTACACCACCCGACATGGGAGCATCAACGAATTGGCCTTGGTTTGCATTAGTAACCCAACTTGCAACCTCTCGAGAAGACGAAGGATCAATAGTTGAGCAATCGATATATATCCTGTCCTTCGTTGGTAAATCCGGGGATAATATCTCTCGATACACGCCCTTTACATGTGTCGGCTCAGGTAACACCGTAATTACTATATCCTATCAAGACTCAGTTAGCATTGAGAGCTAACACGATCTTAAAAATAAATTGAATATGGGATAAGTTCTTCAGAGGATTGGCTATAAAAAATAAATTAATCATAAAAGAAACCGGCAAGCCGGCCCCAACTTAGATCATAGATAGAACGTAATCATCATGTGAACGAAAATTGAGATATAGAGAATTAAGGGAATAGTAGACCACATACCGATTCCTTTGCAACATCATTTACATCATGCGCAAGTTCAACCACAGCGCCATCAGTCTGAGACGTCCGCATCTCTTCAGCTAGGCGTTTCACCGCATCGCCGTTGATATCGAACAACCTGACTGAATCACTCGGCGAGAGTTTCGCCTGTAGATTCTTGGCCATTTGATACCCCTAAATTCGTATCCCATTAGTTAATCCGTCATAGCACAAGCCACCAAAACAAAGCTTTCCAACTCATCAACATACCATTTGCCCCAACCCAACGAAACCATATCTCTCCAACCGTCGTGACGAAGCCGAAAAGGCCCGTCTCTGGGCTTTAAAAGCATTCCGTGCAACAGTGTGAACTCTCATGGTGGAAAGAGGTAGCATGTGCAAAACAATTCCAGCACCAAGTGAAGACAACTAGTAGCTGCAACGGTAGACATAAGAAGCGTGGTAGAAAAGTCAATTGGAGACGGGTTCGATTTCTCCAACTCTCTCCAAAGCCCTGAACACCCGCGGGGTACCGAGGACCGCAGAACCGACCATTGCCGGCCAAAATCTTAGGTTAGAAGGTCAAGTGACCTTACTTCACCTCAATAGGCCAGGCCAAAAGCCAAAAACAATCTGCGCCGCGCACATCACTTCTGTGAAGGAATGCGTTGTTGTTCAACAATCCATTACACCAGCTTTAGCCTATAGACATCATATTCATCTCTCTAGATGTCTTTAATGCGATTATTTGGCAGTTCAGTGTCTGAATGCTACGCCTCTGCTGGGGTTGAAAATTGGAATTGGAAAAAAAAACGAGAATAAAATGAGATTGCGAAAATTTTTATTCTCATTTTAGATAATTAAAAGCTTGGGCCATCGGCTAGCGATGGTGGATACCTCTTATCGGCCTTTTTGGGCGTAACGCGGAACGGGTATTAAGTCGCTTAGGTACTTCAATTATCAAGTCACTATCAGATGAGCCGCATGTTAACTAACACCAGTGGGTTGTTGTACAACATTTACTTTAACTACATATAAGTAAATAGGTAGGTTGATATAGTATAGATATTTATGGTGATGAGGCACATTCCTTTCCATATCACAAATACTATAAATTCGGTCAAATTGAGATAAGCTTCTTTGTTGATAGGACTCTTTGTCGAGTTAGGCACTTAAAAGAACCCTCCTCGCTACTTCGTAGTTCTATAGGAAATTCTATTCCAAACTATTTGAATCATTATCTCTTAAGGAGCCGTTGACCTTAAAAAATGTCTCAAACACGAGTGAACGAGTGAATTTTCGATTTTTCATTATGAAGTTCTCGGGACCTGTAGTGTAGGAGCAAAGCGATCCCTCCTTTCTCGAGAGACCACCAAAAGGGGATGTGATGTATAGATACATGAGCCATTTCATATAGCTACGCAAAATCAGAATCTGAACAGCTGGTTCTGACCAACTGTACGAGGGGGGTATGTGCAAAAAAAAAACAAATAAGTAAACCGGGTTTCCCCACCAACAAAACCCAGTAAAATAATCCAGATGAGACGGGATCGTGAGGACGATATGAGGGGATACTAAGGGACTAAACAATTGCAGGGCCTGGAACTGAACGTTCGAGGGCAGTACTAGGCTAGAATACGCCCATGACGTACGGGATTAGGGCACTGGAGAAGATGGTTAGTTTACGAAACGGTTCAGATTCCACCAGTCCAGAAACTTACCCGACTGCGAGGGTCGCGCTAAGACCGACGAGAGCCCGGTTTCTAACACGCTCCTTTCTCAACTGAACCTCCGTCTTCACTTTCTTAGATCTCGGTTCCTCTAATACTTCGTCTTCATCATCTTCTTGTTCCTCCTCCTCATCATCGACGGCGATTTCGTCAGCCTTTCGTTTGCTCTTATTGCTATTCGAGCCGGATGACGCTGCAGTCTCGGCAGCGGCGATCCTCACCATCTCCTTCGCCTCTTCGATCATTCGAGTAGCTTCTTCAACATCAGGTTCTCCACTGAGGGGGATTTCCACTTCGACGGCAGTTTGTGTCGTTTCGACACCGCCATGGAATTCAACTTCTTGGCCAACCTTGATTTGCACCTTGGCTTCCTCTTCAGCCGGCGCGAAGACAATAGCGGGTTCCTTTTCGATGGTCTTAATAGATACCTCTTCGGTGGCAGCAGTAGACTCAGCGTCCTCGTCCGTCTTCGAGCCGTTTATAGTAGGCTCAGCTTCTTCTTTCAAAGACGGAATTTCGGCAGGTAATTGAGGAGTAGAGGCTTTCGTAGCCCGCTTTCGTGGAGATGCGACAGCTCGTTTCTTTGAAGGGCTAGCTGAGCGACGACTGCGCGTGCTGCGAGGAAGTGATGATGGAGTTGGCGGTGCAAGGAGAGGCTGGGCTGGCAAAGGAGCGTCGAATTTTGGCGGTGCGGCGATCTTCTTAGGAGGGCTGTCAGGCGCACTCGTAATGGAGATTTCAGCCGGGTCCAGGAGCGCACAGATCCAAGGAGTAATTCGATACTCCTCAGCAAGAGCCAAGGCTTGCTCGGGAGGGATCCAAACATTTCCTGCAGTCTCCTCGTGGCTCGTCGTAGGTAGCGACTTGATGAATTTGCGCTCCATTTCCTCTTCTACGGCCTCAGCATAGGGGAAAGTCGCCTTAAACATACCAGTGGCAGAGACGAATCCATCTTGACTGCGGCGCATGAGGAAATACGAGTTCGGAGAAGACTTGAAGATACCCGAAATGATACCCTTTGGCAAGGGAGCCCGCAGATGCGCATAGTCGAAGACCCCAAGACTAGTAGGGTCGATATCTCCTGCGGTGCCGGCTGCAACCATCTTCGCGGTCAATTGGGTCTGGCCCAAGCGTCGACGTGAAACGAGTTCATGATCTGTAAAACGGGTAAGCGATGCAAGCTAACAAAAAACTACCTAGATACGATGCTTCATACAAGGAGGGATGTCCTCAGTCATAAGAGGATTATGCTTGTTAGGCAGACGTCTTGGAGTAGCCATTTTTAGGGACTTGTTAGTTAAGACGCGACCGAAATTATCGTATGCGATAGAGCCTCGCGTGGATTGAAACCGCGACAAGCGATTAGATTTAAATGAGGGTAGTATTAAAAGAGGTAGATAATGAAAACTGAGGCTGGTTTGCTGGGTTAGCAGTTTCTCGTTATCCAGTCGCGCAGAAATGCGATGCGATGCGATGTAATGTCGCGGGTCGTCGCCATAGAAGCGCGAACTTAGGGCTGTCGAATAGGCGGGTCGCCAGAATGGATCTCACTCACGTTATGCAGACTTGCGTCAGGAAGAGAAGGTTATTATAATAAAAAGGGTACACCAATATTCGAAATCCTAGCTGGAAATTGAAATAATAGGTTATGAAATTTTGGCCACAGAAAACATTTAAGGGGACAGATTGATGTAGCTGTAACACCCGGCGCAAAAAAAAATAGGTTCCTCTCTTTCGAATTTGAGGCGGGTTGTTAGGGAAAAAGGACAAGGTCAGAGGAAGAGAAGGGGAGAAAGCCGGGGGGGGCTTCGTTCGACTTCGCGCTGCAAGTTAGAGCTGCTGTCAGCAACGGTGATTTGTCCAAGACAGCCCAGCAGTCGCGAAATAGGAATTGATGAATTACCACGAAAGGTTTAGAGGACCCATATTTATAAAGTATAATCCAATAGGAAAAGTCTATTGCGGCATGGTCTATTAACTCCTCCTTAGTACGAAAAAGGCACGGACCAACACCTTTTCTGGAAGACCAGTACGGGGTACATACGGATGCACCCACTGTATCACCGAAGAGGAAATTGCTTTTCTACAGTGCATTAATACAATACTGTATAAGTTGATACTGTGTTTGCTCTACGAAATAATACTCGATCCAATTATGCACTGTCTTGCTTGTTTGTACGATACGTGGTAGCATGTGTATTGTATTTTATGAGCACCAGAGAGCTTGAGGACCAAAAGATGTAAAATAAGGAAGCTCTCTAGTTCGACAATTTATATCAAATCCAAGCTAGTCACGTATTTACTTGTCTAGCTACCCTTGGGTGCTTAGGGATGAAAGAAAGCTTAGATTGCTCCTATAACGAACAGGTATGGATAAACTATTAGTTACTTATAACAAAGTTATATATTTACCTAAGCGACCTTAGGTAGTCGATTAGATCTATATAGTTCCAAGTTGCATTGTTTCTATTATATTCATGATAAGTATTAAGTTAAGTTTGAAATCACTGAACTTATAGGCAAATTAAGATACCTACCCCTTTAACTACCTAGTACTCTCTACCCCACTAGATTACATACCGAAGGTAGATAACTCTTAGTTAGCTTGATGATTTATCACGCCTATGTGAAAGAATCAATATAAATAACTAAAATCTTAGCAACTTAGAAAAAGTCTTCACTTTTAATAAACCATAGTTATAGCATATTTAGTGGGTTCCATTACCATATGTGCCACGAAGACATGCATGCTATTGTGTGAGCGTATCGAAGTCGTTGGATGGAGAAAGAAGCACGATGGTACCATTATCTGACATAGCTGACCATAGCCGATTTGGCAGATATTATAACCCTTACTCCAAGTTGTGATATCGGGCATCATCAAGTATGGGGGGTATCACTAACATCACTAACGCACGTATCACGCATGTATAGGCATCTTAGGCAAAGCGCGGCTTTGAAGCAGTACAATAATTAGTAACTAACTATGTTTAAAAAGGAAACAAGGGCTAGACCTGGCCTCAGGGGAGCAAGACAAGACAAGACAAGGAAAGCCCCTCTCAAAGCCACTGGTACACTTTTTTTTTAGCCCCGCCGCGCTTAAGCTGCACATGCAGCTTTTAAGAGCCACAAAATTGGCTAGAAGCCCCAAATTCTGTAACATCGTTGTCCAACCCACCTTCTTTATATCAGATCGACATAGAAATCCCACTTAGGTACATATATTTTAAGTACTTACATAGCGTAGTCTGATAGCCTAGTTACACCCCTCTAGAGTCTAAGGTACAAAGTCTCAAGGTACAAAGCCATCACCGCCAGTCTACCCCTCCTAACCAATATTTTATCTCACGTCGACATCGTCTGTTATTGTTATTTACATCTTTCCAAAACAATACTTGGAAATCTACTTACTCTTTTATAGTAACTTTGCCTTACTTTTTTTCGTAGTAGAGTATCATCAAAATGGCATCTCAAGAAGAAAATGATCACTTGCCCGAGGAGACTCAGGGTTACAAGCTCTCTCAGCCTAAGCAGAGCTTGGCCGAATATCAGAATATGGGTATGTATAAAGGCTTTTTTTTCCTTATTTACCTTAGTCTTACTATACCTTCATAATTCCTTTCTATCATTCCCTTCACGTTACTCCAGAGATGTCTGTGTCTTATAGACGCAGAATAGGTGGGATGGTATTGAGTTTGGTAAGGGCTAGGTGAAAAAAAGGGGGGATGAAAATAAGACGAAGTTCACGACACCGACTTTAGACGCGTCTCTTAAAAAAACGCGAGAAGAAACATGGTCTTGGAAATGTTTGCCTCCTAAGGTTGGAGCCTAAGCCAGTCAGTCAGTTTGACACCTGACTGTTAAGAAATTTCCAATCATCGACAGTGACTATGGGAATTTTCAACAACCCACATCATACCGGATCGGTCCTTATCTACAAGTTTGCCATACCGAAGGACCCTTTTTCAGCAACACCAAGATCTCAACCAAGACTCAACTCTCTAAATCAAATCACATTATCCAATGCATCAACATATTTGCTCTCAATATGGATGCACACGCGATCCGCCCGCGACCACTTGGGCATGCTGCCCCTCAGCGTGTTGGGTTTGTTCGACGCATGGTCTCGATGCCGCTCATGAAGCAAACTCATGATACAACATTCTCGTCTGGTTTCCATCGACTTTCAGAGGAAGACCTAGATGACCGTTTCGCGGACCACTGCCCACCGGTTACCACGCCTCCCATTATTCCAGAGTATGACAATGCCCATACCAAACAATTCATCAAGGAGTACGTGAAGGACCAGCTTCAAATTAGCACGACCAAGTCCAGTGATGGTGCGAGTGCATCACGGTCTTACAAAAAACCCAGTCTGCGCACGGATTTGTTGAACTGGTTTAAGGAGAAGCACACGTTGAAGTTCACGAGACACCCTTCTGCATCCTCATCTGGGAGCGGACTTGATCCGGCCATGACATGTAGAGGATTACCGAGCATGATGCTTGATGAGGAGATCACACTTATAAATACATCAACCAATTCTCCCCCCATTTCACCAACGTCCAGTAAAACTTCACAAACATTCCAACAGACCAGGACACAAATTAGTGATAGAAAGGACTCGTCTAATTTGAATAACCTTGATACAGATGCCAACGACGAATCTCTCCAGCGCTACAAGCAATCCCTTGGTCTAAGCGGCGGAAAGGATCTATCCGATCCCAACGACCCTCGTGTTTGCATCATCCACTCTCTAGCTATGGAGACCTCCGGTCGTGCTCCTGTCGTTATCGACCTATCTGCTCCCGGTAGCGAGAGCACCCTCAAGGATCGCCCCTTCAAGATTAAGGAGGGCAGCAAATTCACCATGGTTGCCACCTTCAAAGTCCAGCACGAAATTCTCAGCGGTCTCCAGTACGTCCAGGTTGTCAAGCGCAAGGGTATCAAAGTCAGCAAGGATTCCGAGATGCTGGTAAGTCTACTTTGAGGATTATTCTCAACTTAACATTCACTGCTCAATTACTAATGCATCACAGGGAAGCTATGCCCCGAACACAGATAAGCAGCCCCTGTACAGCAAGCGCTGTAAGTATTCCTAATCTGAAATTAGGATTCTGGATGATCTAACCTCCCTATAGTTCAAGAGGAAGAGGCTCCTTCCGGCATGCTTGCCCGAGGCCACTACAACGCTACTTCTAGCTTTGTCGACGACGACAAGAAGACTCACCTGCAGTTCGAATGGAGCTTCGACATCGGCAAGGACTGGTAGATGCAGTAACCGTCTACTCTACAAGGGGAAAACGTGTTATCTGACTGACTGACTGAATGATGACGACCACGACAATAGAAGGAAGACAAAACATCCAAAAATTTCAAAGGAATAGTACTCTTCGACCTAGATGGTTCGGCTAGCTGGCGACTAGTACTTTGTGCTTATAGGGGACGGGTAGTTGAGTGTAGATAGTTCATCTCTTGAGCATTTTATTTGCTCTACTAAACAATTATGCCGCAACTCGCAGTTCTTTTTTTCAATGCAACGTCCAACAAAGTGATTTCTTCCTTTCAAGCCTTTGACGGCGAGGGGTCTATGTAGATGAATACGACGGTTGAAAGGGGGTATTTTTCTTATTCTCCTTCTTTCTACCAACATATATCAAGGTATCTTTATGGTACGCCTACCACTTGCTTCATAAGCCTGCTTATACAAATCTGGACTGACCGATCGATATATTCTTATAAGAAATAATCCGGCAGCGCATTTCCATCGGCTGTCTTCTCTCCTCCCTGCTGTATTTCCTTGTGCTGGTCATTTTCGGGCGCGGCCGCGAACACGTTGAAGAAACGCTCCCCAGCATCACTGACTTCGAGTACGCTAGCCATATTACCGCACCGGTAGCAGTAGTTGGGCGCGCTCCACACCGTGCTCAGCTGGTCGTCGTAGAGGACTTGGAATCCTTCCTGGCAGAGCTGGTGCGCGCGTAATATATGGTTCATTCCGTTTACTGCAAGGAATTTCTTGACTACCCGCGCGCCGAACTGGTAGCCTGCGCCGCGGGGCGATAATGAAAATTCGTCTCTCTCGGGATCTGGGTCGGACCATACTAGGTCGGCCATTGGGCCCTCGTGCGGTATCTCCCGGAACCGGTCGATGATTTTTATCTGGTCGATGGAATGGATCGAGGGGGAGAGACCGCCGTGCACGCAGAAGATCTGGTCGTTGATGACGACTGAGAGGGTAAGGAAGTCGAACATGTCCGTGAAATAGTGCCAGACATTTGCGTTTCCGTATTTGCGCGAACATTCGGTATAGAATCCATAAGATTGCGTTACGCCGCGCGACTCGTGGTTGCCTCGGATTAGGTGTACGCGGTTAGGATATCTAAGCTTGAGGCACACGAGTAAAGATATAGTCTCGACGCTGAACATACCGCGGTCTACATAATCGCCTGAAATACCCTCAAGAGTTAGAACGATAATAACTTCATTGTGGTTCGGTTGCGTTACTTACCGAGAAATAAGTAGTTCGTATCCGGACACCAACCGCCGATTTTAAATATCTCGATGAGGTCGTAAAACTGGCCGTGTATATCACCGACGACGGTGACGGGGGCCCTGACATGGACGACGTTGCTCTCTCGCATGAGCAGTTCTTTTGTCTTGGCACATATCGCCTCGATTACGGACTCGGCTAAGAGTTCTTTCTTATACAAACGGGATATGCATTCATCCAGATCGACTGAAGCTATACGGCGGCGCACAGGTCAGACGGAAACCCCAGCTTGCATATAAATATATATATGCACGTAATATAATGTAATGTAATGTATGGGCGGGACCAACCTGGAAGCCCAGGCATGTTGGGCGGCTAGACGCAAACTCCAAGACAACAACAGCAGGTCGGTCTGTGGGCGACTGTGCGGGCGTGGGGCGCGGGCTTCCTTCTGCTCCGGGGAAAGGCAAAGTCGTGTGGGGAGCTAGAAGAAACCGCAAACATGTTCGGAGGAGGCAGGGTAGTCGGCGCCTCGCATGGGGAGAGAGGATGGAATGTAAGTAAGTTGTCGTTTGGAAGCGAGAGGGACAGGGCTGAAGAGTTGCCGTGCAAATTCGAGCTTAGAGTACGTAGCGAAAAGCGAACTCTTTTAAACCCTCCGCAAGGAATGAATACATATCATAATCCTTTGGTGTTGAATCAAAAACCGACAGCTGCTAGTCTCGGATGCCGATGTCGAATTGGTTGGTAAGCTATCGTTATCGCTTATCGCTTATCCCTCATTTCTACGCCACTTCATGGCAAAAAAAAAGAGCCGCGCTTGTGCGGATTAGACTTGTTGGGTTAGGGGTTTATACCGTAGCCGTCATGCGCATCTTAATCCTACTATATTAATATTATGTCTATATGCAAAGCCTTGTCTTCCGTATGCAATATATATATAACATTTGTACCTGTGCTTGAAATCGTCCGATTAGATTTTCTGCACTTTTAACTTCTCTTCTTTTTCCTTCCCCATGGTTTTTCCCAACTTCGTCCTCTGGTTTTTTTTTTATCATTTCTGAGTCTTGCAGCGGTTTTATTTTCTACAAAAAAGTAGCTGAATTGCGCAGGTTACTTATTACTTGATACATTTGCTTTATATGGTTTGATTTTGGGAGTTCGTAGTAGAATAACCCAGCTTTTATTCCTTTTCTGCTTGGATTTTCTTTTTTTGACCTGGACTCCTTCGGTGACTTTTGCATTTTCATCATTCGGGGAGTAAGGTTTTCCGGTTTGATATCCGAATACTGATTCGTATTCAATCTTTTTCGTTTAAGCCTTCATTAGGAATAATGATAATTGGTAGTTTACCTTACGGCAGGTTAAGGTGTTGGCAATGGATGGGGCACACGAAGTTGGTTCCTAAATGGCTTGGGCCTTATGTTGACTTCTCTATGTTTTATTTCCTATCTATCAAAACCTACCTGTTGGTAGAGTCGTCATCAAATACTATATCTTTAATATCAAGACTTTCTTATGTTTGATATCATCTGGTCTGGAGCCTACAACACTAGCCTCATGGTGTTTTGTGTTGTTGTCTTACAATAGAACTCTTTTGTTCTTATCTGAGATTTAATGTCTTTATCTTAGACAGTAACCATTTATCTGCTCCTTTACTTTTTTCTTCTCTCTTGTAGTGTCTTGTGTGCGTAGTCTAACTGAAGATTCTAAAAGTCGTGAAGCAACGTGAAGCAAAGTGAATCACGTCCAACGTACTTCTAATATTTCCATCTAGTCTACGGCGCGGCCCGAAGTTTAACCGCTACCGCCTTGGTGGTGGTACCTTGGGTACCTAATGGCCGCGATGCATTGTACCTTTTCTTTTGGACATTTCAATCTCACCCGTGAAACCTTCACTTTCAGCCCATCACCATTGATATTTATGTCAGGTATATCAAGCATCAATACTCTCTCCCCTGGCCATATTAAGCTTGAATCGCAGTTCTATCGCAAATACAGAACATCCTTGATGAATTTGAAACAATTATTTCCGCGTCATCGGAGTGGAGGGACTTGTATTGGTGGTGGTCTTCGCTTTGTCGCGGTGAGAAGCTGATCTCGTAAGTTTTGCTCAACAAGGCAACTTATACCCAAGATCAGACACTTCGCTATTCATCGCATAATCTTTATATCTCTCTTATATCCATGAGCCGCGCCTAATTGACTCTATTCTCGAACCTCAGATGACATTACCAGCTGTCAATTTCTCTTGCCCCGCGTATGTTAGGTCTTGTCGCGACAAACTCACGTTTCCTTACTATATCAAGTTGAAGACTTACTTCTATCTCAGCATGATAATTATATTCTAGTGCTTCTTAGAGCCTCAAGTACAGCAAAACCTCGCAATCTGTGTAGATACGTACATGTCCGCTTTACGAAGTTTATAAACTTTGCTATTTGCCGTTGCGCTCAGGCGCTTGGCAGTTCATCAACATCTCTTCGTTGCCAACTACATTCTATATTAAGAAGAAACGCTTTCACTAGCGCACTGTCACTCTCGATTCTTCTTCCAATTATTCTATAAAAAATGGCCCAGGTTGCCCCGGGTCTTGTGCCAGACCATAACGAACGCCCCTGTTATAATTGTGGCATACGAGGCCATATGTTCACTGCATGTCCCGAGGAGCCTCGGAAAGTGCCGGCGTAAGTATTTCATGGCTCTCTATTTTGATCATACGCTTGATTTTTCCCCTTTCACCTCAATATCCACGATCATGCCGACTAAAAATATGTTAGTGGATTAGAGGCCTCCTGGGCGCGACAACAGTCAAGCAATAGTCCCCATAATGATAGCTTCGTACCAAACAAGCGAAGTAAAGGACCAGTAATTACGCGCTATCCTCCTCCACCTCCTCTCGCTTCTTCTCATCCGACGCCTCCATTACCTCGTTTCGAGAATTCTCCGCCTCAACCCTATCATTCGGGTCCAATCCCGGGCTATCCTCCGCCACCATCTTACGGTCCGGGGTTCGTTAGTCATCCGCCGCCGAACCCATCATATGATAGATATGGACCTCCGGGACCTCCGCCACCTGGCCCTCATCAGCCATTAAATCCTCCAGCTTACCAAGGCGCATACAATTCCGCGTATGGTCCACCAAGCCATATTCCTGGACCCTATGACCACCATCATATTCCCCCTCCTGGACGTCCTACTCAGTATTTCCCTCATGACTATCCCCCTGGTCCCCCTGGTCCTCCTAGCCGACCTAACCAATACCCTCCCAGTCAACATCCCGTGGGTCCGCCAGGTCCGCCAGGTCCTCCATATGGCGCGCACCAGCAATATCCACCTGGGCCTCCACCACCACAATATGCGCCGCCGCCCAGTTTCGTACCTCCGCCTACCCCATATGGGTTTCAGGGTCCGCCTCCCGGGTATCATCAGAGTGAGTATAGCCTACCTCAGCGTGATCCTCCGACTATCTTTCAACCATATCCACCGCTCGATCCTTATCCTCCACAATACGGAGATGATAGAAATCGCTACGAGCGCGGTCGGGATCACCAGCGTCGTTATGAAGATAGGCATCCAAATGAAACTTGGCATCCTCAAGACGCGTGGCACAGTTCACCGCCATCAAATGGCCAACCGTATAGAGATGAATACCGTGATGACTGGCATGGCAAGCCCTCATACCGAGATGATCGACATTCTCGTAGGCGGGGACATGGTAAATCTCAAGACGAGCGGCGTCGGGAGCGTCAAGATCGCCAAGACCGGTTTCAGCCTTTTAAGAATTCAGACAAGTGGGACAGGCATCACCGACGAAAGCACCAGCCAGCAACGACTCCGAGCGAACCAGCGCGCCGCGATAGGAGCTCTTTAGATAGAGAAACGCCAGTAACGGCCAAAACAGATCAGGAACGTGAGCCTGGCGAGATAATTTCTGAACCAGCTTCCGCGTCCGACCATGGCGACCCAGAGACAACCGTCGACACAACTAAAGATGAGAGTAATGAAGATTCTAGTTGGGATGAAAGGACTATCTTTCTGGAGCTCCCGCTAAGTAGCAAGGTAGACCCGATTGCAGCACCTTTACCGACGCAATACTTTGAAGATATAATGATACCTCCAGCATTCGACGCTAAGGCCTTGAAGTCGCGGTACATCACGCCGCGTAACGTTGATGATTTTGCACAAAGCATCCGCGAAACTAGAGATTGGCAGGTAATGCAGCATCATCCTTTGTTTTTAGACCCGACAGAAATTTGTCTTGAGAAGTTGGATGATTACAATAGAGCAATTCAAAAAGACCTGAATACTAGGGGTAGTCGTCGAGATCGCTCTGGAAACTCACATGACACTAATAAACATCGTTTCAACAATTCGAAAGGATCAGGTCGACACCAGGGAAAGCATCAAGATTCACACTATAAAGCAGAACAAAAGAAGAGAAGATGGAGTGATTTCCACGATGATACCGATGAGTTCAAGTTTGAGAGACGTCACCGTGATTCTCCGTACGATGACCCATTCAACAAGAGATTGAAACCTACATCACCACCCGAACCCGGCGAGTTAGTCGAGGCCGATTCTCAGCAACCTCCTTACACGCCCTCGAAGGCGCCTATTGTACCTACGGATGATGGAAAATGGACCCAAGGACCAAGAGAAACTTTGGATAGCCAATCGCGACCCGAAGGTCTTGATAACAGGACTAATGGATCAAATCAAGAAACTGTAGCCCAGCATATTAACTTATCGCTACCAGATGGTCAGGGTAAGGCTAATCCGCGGCCGTCAACACCGTCAGGGCAGCCAGCAGACATACCCCAGCCATATAGTCGGCCATCGAGCAGACAGAGTTCTAGAAGCGTCAATAGAAGCCGCCCAGCCAGTCGACGTTCTTCATTCGGAAGCGATATATCTGAATCCCAAGGATCGCCACTTGATCCTATCGAACGCGAACTACTAGGGCTTGGGCGACCTTCAACCAGTGGCACTGATAGTGGAGGGGAGTCAGCAAAGAGGCATTTGAGTGATACAACACCTAAATTCAAGCGTCGACAGCCTATACTGGAGGCGTACTCGTGAGTTGTCTCTACGCTCTCCTCGTTTATTTTTAATTGCTAATAGGACTTAGGCGTCGTTGGTAACGATACAAGAGTTTCACCATGATAGAGACAGTTGTTCTATACAAAGCATAGGACCGTACAAGATTTTATTTAAGGACAATGTGTTCTAATGCGAGCTATAAGCTTCTTGAAGTCCTTTACCAGCACATAGGGATGTATGAGGTACGATTTGGTATGAGTAAGCACCCAGTGCTTACTGACACAATGATTCTAATATTATACCAATGGTATACTAAAGTCACGGCTTGAAAATTCATGCATAAAACATAACACAGTTCATATTCTTAGGGGGGTGTAAATAGTAGTGGAGTGGAAGGCGTTTTCTATAGGTGCATTGGATAAGGTGGGAAAGGTCTGCAAAGTCCCAAAGGCGTCCGGAGCCTTCGTGTTTTACTTCAGCGAATGTACGATGTATCAATACTGTATACAGGGCCATGGGTGATGGGCTGTGCATTCATTGGAAGTTCAGTCTGGGAACAAAGCCCAGGTATAATGAATTGAGAAAGTTATAACAACTAGCTACAATTGGCTTGTAACGACGAAGACCTATACTCTGTAGCAATACTCTAAAAGGGTTTCTTCTTATTGTCTTAAGTCGTAACAACTGTAGATATTGTTCGTGGTTCTTCTATTTGTGACTCCTGCATTAATCTTTGTCCTTCAGTTTCATAATGAATGTATTATACAACCGTGATTCTCTGTTCACACACATCTCCTTTATATGTCAAATACAATTAATTATATTAATACCCCCCCTAAAATTATCACGAAATCTTTTCTATCCAGTAGCAACAGTGCCATCATTAACAATCCCAAACCAGCTAAACATCATTTTTACCCTCAGTCACCTTTCTACCCTCCCCTTAGGTCTTAGCCGTGAGAGTGAGGTGAGATAAGAGTCTAAAATTCCAAAAAATCCGATTGAAGGTAATTCTGTCAAGATGTGTACCGGTACGTGTTGGATATACAAGTGCGTACGATGCGGCGGCACCATCCTTAAAGACACCAGCGTCTCGGGACACACGTGCAACGCCGCGCGACGGAACAGGAGCCGCGGATGCTGCCGCACGGGCATCGAGTTTACGTTCTACGATAAGGATTCCGACGAGAAGTGCGGGCTGTGCGAGATCGCCGAGGAACTATTTCTGATCAACGCCGAATCCGACTGCGAGTCCTGCGATAGTAGCTTTTCTGGAGAGTACCAGTCTTGTGTTAGTGTTGCTGTTGCTGCTGATGATGACGATGGCGAGGGTGGACAGGAGGAGGGAGATGAGGAGAGAGAGGAGGAGAACGAAGATGAAGATGAAGATGAAGAGGAAGATGAAGAGGGAGGTGCTAAGTTAACTTCTTAATGACGTCTAGAAAAATCCTGCGGAGTAATGTTGAGAAAGGAGTTGGTAAATTGGGAGGCCATATTTGTTGTTCTTTTAGTCGCTCGTTTTGGTGGAAGACTAACCTAGTAAGTACCTAGACGTCCCATACCCTGAGCACATACACGATATCTATATAAAACTCGACCAGTAGGCATGAATAGACTTTCATTTGTTGACCTCTAGCAAAAAATAGTATCCGACCTTTTCGTGTTGTGCATGGTGACTTTTGTGAGATTTATAGTCTTGTAGTTTTGATACTGACTAACTAGATGTTTTAGACACTTTCATATACAAGCTTGAACTTTACAGGATAGAACCTTGATAGGATATTGAATACGAAGAAATGGATTAGCTCTCGATGAGTCATATGGAATTATATTTTGTCGTAATTATTTTGATTTATATGGCTTTCTGAGAGTCGGTGTTATGGCCGAAATGGAACATTCGCAAGAGTTGGAAATAGTTCATATCTTTTTTATTCGGGATACATGTGTAAATTATTAAATTTAATCCTATATACGGAGAATATTAAGTAAGGTGCTGCTGAACCAGCAACCCCAACATTTAACAATGAAGCCGCTCAATCCTTATTAACGCTGCACGCACAAGTATCCACGTACATGTATCGTCATTAGCTCATATTAACCGGCAGTTAGCCCAACGTATTGTCTCTCTAGCCTAAACGGCGAGTTCCAAAGGGCAGACCGCCAGGATATTAGGGGAGGCGCGAAGACTCTGCTGTAGAGAGTATAGAAGCGCTCTTCCTTAGTTGCGGACCTGGCCACAGGCACCGTTGCCAACCACCATGTTGGTGCTGACCAGAGGAATGCGGCCGAAGGTCGCGACACGGTTGCTGCCCTTGCAGACGCCGTAGTCCTTGGCGATGTAGCACTTGCCGGTGCTGCTGTAGCCGAAACCGCCGCAGTGAGCAGTAGTAGCGCAGAGAACACAGCAGTCGGTGGCAGAAGACTTGGTGCCTTCGTCGACGAGGGAGCCGTATAGGTAGTTGATGCTCTGGCGGTTGAGGGTAGAGGCGATGTTGTTGCTGGCACACTGGGCGTAGGCGGTGGGGGTAGGACCAACGGTGAGGGTAGTGGAGGTGGTGGCAGTGACCGTTGTCGTGGTAGGCACGTATGAGGTGGTCTGGATGGTCTCCGTAGTAGCGGCAGTGACGGTAGTCTCGGCCGGGATGGGAACCTCGGTGGTAACGGTGGTGATGGTGCTGGTGCTGGTATCCGTGACAGTGGTAACAGGAGCAGTGAGGGTCTGAACGGTGGTCAAGACGGAAGCGGTCGAGGTCGATGTGGTATAAGTTGTAGTGCCACAGGCGACTTGGGAAGCATAGGTCTGGATATCTCCAGCATTCAAGACCGGGGTAGCAACTGGGCAGCCAGCAGTAACGGTGCGGCCGGCAAGAACACGGTTGATAGTACGGGCCACAACGTTAGGAAGGGCAGACTTGATAGGCGTGAAACCAGCAGGCGTGGCAACGGTGGTTGTGGTGGGCAACACGGTGATAGTGTTGGTGGTGGTGTCAGTAGCAGTATCAGTGGTAGTCTCGATCTCCGTGGATGTAGTGTACTCGGTCGTGGTCGTGGTGTAGGTGTCCGTGACCTGAGTATCGGTCTCGGTATTAGTGACTGTAGTAAAAACTGTAGTAGTGGTAGTCGAGGTGGGCGTAACGGTGATCGCCTCAGTGGTGGTAGCAACTACAACAGTGGTCTGAGTAACAGTACCGGTCTCCAGGGTGGTGTAGATGAAAGAAGGAGGCTTCTGGGCAAAGGTTGTTTGGCAAGTGGAAGGATCATTGACGATAGGAGCCTCATAACCAGGAGCAGGACCAGGGTTGGAGCAAGTACCACTGCAGGTTGCGACGATCAATGAACCACTCTTAGCGTCGGTGTCTTCAACAGAGAAAACACCCTCGTTAACACGGGCACCGTAGGTTGTGCAGATACGGTTCTTGAAAGTGAAGCTGACGCAGCGAGATGTATCATCACACCTACTGAGACAGTCCTCGAAGCTGACCGAATCGTGCATAGATATCCAGTTACCACGGATGCTGAAGTTATCCAAAACATCGTAAGAGCAGCCGCAAGAGCTGGTTCCGACAACGAAGTCGGTCGGGGTCGGGCAAGGAGTAGTTTCCGAAGAGCTGGAAGAAGAGCTCGAGGAGGTAGAGCTTGGCACGAGCGAGGAAGACGAGGACTCCGTGATAGAGAAGCTTGAGGAGGAGCTGGATGCGGGCACCGACGAGGACGACGTAACAAAGAAGCTTGAAGAGCTAGACGCAGGTACCGACGAGGATTCCGTGATAGAAAAGCTGGAAGAACTAGACGCAGGCACCGAAGAGGACGATGTCACTGAGAAAGAGTAGCTCGAGCTAGCGCTTGACGCAGACACAGAAGAAGACTCGGAGAAGGAGTAGCTTGAACTGGTGCTTGATGCTGGTACGGAAGAGGACTCTGAGAAGGAGTAACTTGAGCTGCTCGACGGGTCTACTGAGCTGCTAGATGCGGGTACAGAGGAAGACTCGGAGAAAGAGTAGCTTGAGCTAGTGCTCGACGCAGGCACGGAAGAGGACTCCGAGAGGGAGTAGCTGGAGCTGCTAGAGACAACGCCGGAAGAAGACGACGACTCCTTCGGGTATCCGCTGGAGGAAGTGCTGGTAGCACCATACGAGGATCCCGTCGAGGAAGCACCCGACGAAGCCGAAACTCCGGGGTATCCAGTCGCTCCTGAGGACGAGCTTGAAGCGCCGGCACCAGGGTAGTTAGACGGGAAAACCGACTTACACCTAGCCGCAGCCTCCCTCGCAAGGAGGGCTACAAGGACAGTCTCGAACCTCATGTTGACGAAGGCACACTGATAAGCAAAGTAAAACGAAGGACTTTAAATGAGTGTGTAAAGAGCGACGAGAGACAAAGGCTGATGATCGAAATTTAGAAACCGGTCTCGTCGTGGTCTATTTGAATGCATTTCTCATTGTGACCGGCATCAGGGGAATCCAATACTAGAATCCTTATCCATCGCGTAGCCTACTGCCTAGCTAGATAGTTCCATTTCTCTTCTAACTAATTAAGCCACCTACGAGTATCCTCAATCGATGCAGAATCTAGAGCAGACATCTGGCTGAAAGCTAACTTCTCTAGGGACGAGCTGCCGTTAAAATCGAAAGGTGACAGAGCCTGTAGAGAGTCTAGACCAAGCCGTCAGTTCTTTGTGGGGTAGCTGAAAGCCACAAGTCGTCGACTATCGAGTAGCTTGTACTAACCTATATGCCAGGTACTAAGCAGCTAGATAACGGCTACGTTCCGCACGTGGTTGAGATAGGCGAGTATTGTGGAAATTGTTATATATTTCGATGTAAATAATCGAGCTTCGGCCAATAAACGTTTAGTAGTACCTAAGGTAGATTACCGACAGCTTGGACTAGGCGATTTACCCCTGACTAGCGTCTAGCGTCGGTGCTGTTGTGCGTAGCTCGAGTCTAGTCTTTTCTACGATTGGCTATTTTACTGTAGAAAGAAAGAAAGAAAGAAGAATAGGATTTTGCTCTAGTTGATACTATGTAAGTAAGTGACGACTTACATCCCTCATTCGGTAGAACCGAGGAATAATATTTTATCACATCACATCTAACAAGCCACATGTGATACCTCCTTTATTGATCTATAGATCAATTAATTACTCCTTTATAATATAAGAATATATACTTAAATATAGTGAATATCTATATACCACATCTCGATAGTTGTCGGATTATTATAACAACCGCTTATAGCAGAGATCTTATTAATTCATCATGTATGATACATATCGCAGAAAATAAAAAACATTAGGGTTAGAGGCAGAGCTAATGTGAGGTACAATCACCAATAACTAACCTAAATCTCACGAGCTAAATAAGCATCTCGTCATAAAATAATTAGAGCTGCACCGTATCGTACCACTCCACTGGAGGCTAGATGCTATAAGCTCGCTCCGTTTATAAGTCCGTTGTTTACTAAAACCCGAAGCCCACTAGGAAGAGCTGGATCATAGTTCTACGTTCATCCAGGACCTTTTTAGAAATGCAGGAAATTATAGAAGAATAATCAAAATGCCTACTTATGTAATTACTATCCATCATCCGGAAGAAAAGTTCCTTAGACAGGTTTGTAGTTAGTCTATCCGAAGAGACGGCGAAAATTTAGCGAGATATTTCGTTAATAGAACAGAACTACCTGGGCGGGTCTTCCTCGAGAGCAATGCCGAGGCAGATCCAAATCCCCCAAAATTCTCTCTTCATCAGGGCCTAGAAGCCCAGTGATGGTCTTAATATCAAATAGTCGGTATGATCTACCTGAAGGGTTTTAAGAGAGGCAATTCCCGTTGTTTGAGGGAGCTGAAGTCGTGCTGTTTTCTGTACTAATACTATGCCGAATAGTGAGTATTACGATCCCTATACTCAGATACATTGGTTGACTTGCCATCTAGCGATATGAGGTAATACTCACTAGCATTATTAATGCACACACTATGTGTCTGTATTGCTCTGTATCTATAATGCCGAAGGTCCAAACAGGGAAGGCAGAATGCCAGATGTAAATACTTTTTATGGCACATGTCTTCCATAAATCACGCAGAGCAGTAGTTTTTGTAGTGTGTAGGATACTTTATATAATTTATGACCTTTGCGTATTGAATTGTCTTTTAAGAATTTCTGCGAACCTGAAAGATATCTGGGACTGATACTACCTCATATCTACGGCAGACTTGCGAGTAAATCGCTCAATGCAAACCTAAGGTATTCCATGATAGGTAGTCTTTCGGGCTGTACACGTACTTATAATAAAACTAATCAAAATGTCAGGATACGATAAGGCTACTACGTAGGGTACCCGCCAGCTATTAGGTCTATATAAGGAAGCCATGCCCTCCCCCTATTCTTGGGAGAGATAGATAAATACAGTCACTAATACACTAATATACTAGTAGCTGGGACCCTACTGCTCATTCAATGCTATACGATAACCTTAGAATAACTGATCGAAGCATTTATATCATTTTTTTTTTCTAACGTTGCGTCTGTACCTATCGTATTGCTGTCATACAAATGCAATAAGATTATATGCTAGCTTAATGGATTCTAATACTCTTTTGCGTTATATACAACTCCGTAAGAAAGTAAATGTAAAACATGCTCGCTTTACCAAGAAACAATTTATAGCAACCAAAAGGAAATATTCTTGAAAGTTCTATATGAGGTAGTGAATAAACGGGTATTTAAGTACCTCTTAAGGGGGTATTAGTGCTATCTATACAAATTCAACATAGCACCCTTAAAAGGATGTTACATATTAATTAAAGAAATAGATAAGATTTAAAATTTAACCGAGATTTACTTTGTATATACAATTTTGTTAAGAACTTCATATAATTTAAATATATTTTTTTTAATATATATATTTTTTTTATAATAATATTTTATAATTTATATAATTATATAACCACGTTATACTTTTATTATAATATATATTTGTATATTAATTTATTATAATTTTTTATATTTTATTAATTTATTATAATTATTTATATTTTAATATCTATTTACGTATTAATTTTTTATATTTTAATATATATTTATATATTAATTTATTATAATCTATTATAATTATTTATATTTTAATATTTTTTTATATATTAATCCCTTATATTTTAATACGTATTTATACATTAACCTATTATAATTCCTTATATTTTATTAATTTATTATAATTATTTATATTTTAATACCTATTTATATATTAATCTTTTATATTTTAATGTATATTTATATATTAATCCACTATAATTGTTTATATTTTAATATTTATTTACTTATTTATATATTTAATTTAATTTATTTTTATATTATATAATTTATTAGAAAATATTTTTGCGTATTTAAATTTTTATTTTTTTATTATATACCTAAATATATTTAATAAATATATAAAAGGTTAATAATTAATAGTTAATTTTTAAAAAAATTTTAATTGCGATAATATAGTTATAAAAATTTTTAATTATAAATTAAAGGTTTTAAATAAATTTTAATTATAAGTTAAAGGTTTTAAATAAACTTTAATTATAGTATAAAGATTTTAAATAAATTTTAATTATAAATTAAAAATTTTAAATAAATTTTAGTTATAATATAAAGGTTTTAAATAAATTTTAATTATAATTTTAAGGTTATATAATATATAACAATTAATTATATATATTTTTAAATTTATTCCTAATTATTTTAAGGCTTTTTTTTCTTTTAAATCCTTTTTAAATTCCTTTTTTAACATTTTTTTAAAAATAAAATTATTAATATTTTTATTTATTAAAATTTTTAAAATAATTTAAATATTATTATATATTAACGTAGTTAAATTAGTTTTATTAAAATTAAAAATTTCTGAATTTATTTACTATTTAAAATAAAATATTTTAATATGTTAATAAATATAAATAATTATTTTTTGGCAATATTTTTTAATAGTTTTATTAATTAAAGATTGGTTAAGTTTATAAAATGGTAAATAAATAAAGATATTTTTTAAAAATTTTTTTTATTAATTATTAAATTTTGTTTTATTTATTAGATTTAATTTGCCTAGGTTAATCCTTAATTTTTTGGTAAATTTATTAAATTTTATAGCGTATATTTTTATAATACTGTTTTTATAAAAATAAAGATCCTTTTATAGTTTGCATTGGAAATAGTAATAGGATTATAATACGTTATTATAATTTAAAAAGAATTTATAATAATTATATATTTTAAAGTTTATAAATATTTTAAATATTATTTAAATATTAATAAACTATTTATGTAATATAGCGCCTTTTTATTATTATATTTTTTTTTCTTTTTTTTTAACAATTTAATATTAATAGTTATATTACTTTATATTATTAATAGTAAAATAAAACCAGTTATTTTTTATTATAAATAATTTAATATAATTTAAAATATATTTTTTTAATTAATGTTATTATTATTTAATAATTATTATATACAAATTATATAATTTTTTTATAGTTATAAATCTATTTATAACTATTATATACATAATTTTTTTAAATTTTTAATAAACATATATTATAATAAAGGATATTGGTATTTAGTTGATTTTTAAGATTTTTAGGTAAAAATAAATAAATTTAAAAAATTTATTAATAATTTATAAATTTATTATTAATATATATATAATTATTTAATTAATTTTTTTGCGTAGAAGTAAAGTTGTTAGGTTTTTATTTTTTTAACTAAAAATAGGTGTTATATAATTAGGTTTATTATAATATAAAATAATTATAGGAATTAATAATAATAAATTTTGGAAATAATTTAATATTATTTATAGTTTATAAAAATATATTTTATATTTATACCAAATATTCTTAATATTATTACGCGTAAATATATAATTATAAATAAAGTAATATTTAATTAAAAAATTAATTTTAATATAATTATATATACCAATTTTAATAATTTAAATAAATTATTATTAATATTTTAACTTTAATATGTTAAAAAATCTAAAATTAAATAATTAAAATTTATATATAAAATAAAATAGTAAAAGAAATATAATAATCTTTAATTTAATAATTTATTTATAAAATTAGATTGTTAAATAATTATTATAATTATTTAATATTAAAAAATGTTTTTTACTAAAATTTTTTAATATTATATATTGGTTAAAATATTTAAATTAATTTAAATTAATTGTATTATTAGTTTAACCATTTTTATTAGTAATTAATACTGTATTATTAATTAACCTATTAAATATTTAATTTTCTAGTATTTAACAATTAAA